TTTCAAAAGTTAAGTTGAAAAAGTTCTACTTTCTACATGCATTTTTTAGATTTGAACCCCCCTCGTATATAGGAAATGGTCCGAATTAAAAAAAAAAGTATGTCAAATGAAAGATGTATATAAATACTACTCCTCATGAAAAAATTGTACTGATCCATACATTTTTCAAAAAGTTATATAGCATAATAAAGTTAAAAATGTAAAATACAAAATCGAAAATTTTCACAGTAAATTAAATAAATATTATTTCTTATAAAAAAATTGTATTAATCCATACATTTTTAAAAAAGTTATAACATTTTAAAGTAAAAATGTAAAATATAAAATCGAGAATTTTAATACAAAAATAGCATACGATAGCCATTTTCACCGTTTAGACAAAATAAAGTCCGAAATTTTTTTTTTCCAGAATAAAGTATATTATATTAACTTTAATTTAAGATATATATAAAAGTGTCAGACCTTCCGGAACATTTTCAAAAGTTAAGTTGAAAAAGTTCTACTTTCTATATGCATTTTTTATATTTGAAGCCCCCCCATATATAGGGAAATAGTCTGATTTAAAAAAAAAGTATATCCAATGAAAGATGTATATAAATACTACTTCTCATGAAAAAATTGTATTGATCCATACATTTTTTAAAAAGTTATAGCACTTTAAAGTAAAAAATGTAAATTATAAAATCGAAAATTTTCACACAAAAATAGCATTCGGTAGCCGTTTTCACCATGAAGACAAGTCCAGAGGTCAAATTTTTTTTTTTCAAATTAAAGTACATTACATTAGCTTTAATTTAAGATATATATAAAAGTGTCAGACCTTCCGGAACATTTTCAAAATTTAAGTTAAAAAAATTAATTTTTTGTGAAAAAGTTGTCATTTTAAATCCCCCCTTGTGGGCAGGTTAAGGGTTAAATTTATGAAAAAAATATACCAAATAAAAGGTAATGATATTATGCATCTATATAAAAAAAAATTATATTGATATGTTTATTTTTGAAAGAGTTATGGCACTTTTAAGTAAAAAAAATTGAAAAAATTTCGAAAATTAGCGATTTTTAAATTTGTAATTTTTTTGGAGGTTTCCCCCATTTACGGGGAACGAGGGAAATTTTTTCAATTTTGAAGGGTAATGTCTTCGACTAGATACGATTTGTGATCTTTTGACGTATCGTTGAAAGAAATCCGTTCGGTGAGAGCTGAGAAAAAGTGGTAACAGACACAAAAAAAAAAAAAAAAAAAAAACACATCTTAGTAAAACCAATACCTTCTCAGCTTCGCATCGAAGCTAAAATCTCTTAAAATTAAAAATTTCACTTTTTTTCACTGAAAATTAAAATATATTATTTTTATTGTTATTTTAATTTTAAGATACAGTAATTTTATAAAAGCGTATTGTCAACCAATTAATTTAATCCAATAGAATAATAACATTTTGAATTTTACGGAAAATCTTGTCTAAATATAAACTTAATGATATGTTGGAATATTGAAAAATAAACCAACCTATTCAAAAATATGTTAATTTTATCTATAATAATTTTTTAGGTGGAAAGAGAAATAGCAATTATGAAACTCATCGACCATCCACACGTTTTAGGATTATCAGACGTATACGAAAATAAACGATACTTGTAAGTTATATTTTATATTTTTATTTATTTTTTCTTATCTACTTTGTGTAAACTACCATTTTACTACTTTGTTACTAAGTTCTACGATATTCAAATGAATAACATTTTTAAAAGTAAAAACATATAACTTTGATTATTATAAGTAATAAAATATTGACTTAATTACAGTTTATAATCCTAAGTAAAAGACTGTCGGATTACCAAATAAAATAAATAAACCCATGTGGTAGACCTCTAGAAAAATAATATATATTATTACACATTGTCCTATTAATGCAGTATGGTATTGATATTGTATACTGTGATATATTCTAAGAAATATTTAATTAATATAATTACATATACATTAATACAGTTTTTTTCATCACAGGAAAGATTTTTGAACACAATTACAGTACGAGCCAAGTGGTTTAATTTATTTATTATAATATTTTTATAAGTATAAATATTACGTCTATACTTAAAATATTAATAGAAGTTATCACCAAAATAGAGTACTTGAATAAATTGTAATTTGATTGTCATAAAACCGTTTGCCTGAGGTAGTTAACAGAGAGGGGTTGTCACAGCTCGTTTTTAGTAATTACCCAATAGCATGGAATAGGACATGTAATTTTATCATATGAGTAATTACACATGACGTTTTGTAATAACACGATAATCGTGAAATATTTTAACTGAAATGAGCTTTTTACCAGAAGTATAGCTTTAATTCGCCTAAAATAAATATATTTGGTAAATTTTTATTATAGTTTATAATAATAATATTATTAATTGTGCAATTCTGTTGGCATAATGGGATGCACTAGAAAAAATGATTTTTATAAATATGGTTTTTTTTTTCACTCTTATATAACCCTCAATAAATCATAACCTAGAGCTTGTAATAATGTGATAATTTATCATAGAACTAAATATGGCATATCTTTGTGTGGTCTCCCCTTATGCATAATAATCCATTTATTTTTAAAATTGACCTTTCGTGCCGTGTGGGCAGAATTTATTAATTTATTTTGCAACACACTTTTCATTATATTGTATGTCATAAAGTCAACAATATTACAAGTTATTGAAAAAATCATCCCACTTATTCAGAAAAACGATAAGCTATAACTGTAAGCAAATTATCACAAGGAATAGTGTTTTTATAACTTACTATTGAACTTAATATAGTAAAAAGTAATTTTTTTATTTAAGTTTTGCAATTGTATCACTAAAAAAGTTTAATTAGTTATCAGAACAATTTTATCTGAAAAATGTTTTATTAAACTAACTTATTATTTATTATGTTTTTAAGCTAAAATTTTTAAATTCCGTTTAAATATTTAAATAAATTTAAAAATTATTATCAGCATTGTGAAAAATTCATAAGATAAATAATTTATTCTTTTATGGGATTTTTAAACATATTATAAATTTAATTACCTAAACTTGTATTAATGTAGTTTGATTTAAATCTTGTTCAATCAAAATCAGTCTAAGGGGATTATTTTGATTGCTAAAAATCCTTAAAATTTCATATATTAATCAATCTAAATAAAATGTTACAATACATAAATAAGTTTTAAGCGATCTTAAAAAATTTCAATTCAATTTAACAAAAAAATAGTTCATATGTATATTTTCATTTAATTTATTTAAAAATATTGTTTGTATTATTGAATGTTTCAGCGTATAAATTAAGATTGTACAACCCACACGTAATATGTTAATATTAATTACTTAACCTTACTCAACATGGTATTATTGATTTAAATAATTCATGGTTACTGACAAAATAAATGGACAACAATAAAGATACTTACCATGCTGATTTAATCTATTTTAGGATATCAACAATAATACCATATTGTTAAGTTTTAGAAAATTATCGTTTTATATAATAAATCATACTAAATTTGTTATGATAAAATGAAAGTAATAATAATTCCTATGAATTTACATCTGAAGGATCTGCAGTGCACCAGACTAAGTTCTAGCAATGAAATTGTTTTTTACGCAAAAAAAAACCCCAATTTTTCTAATCCTCGTATCTCTGTTTCCTTATAAGATAGGCTTATGAAATTCGATACAAAGATAGATTCTAGTAGTTCACACACTGTAAAAAATTTAAATATTAATGGTAAGCCATTTCAAAAAGGAAAAGTTTTAATTTTTGTAATTGACTAGAACTTGTCCCTTTTTTCACAATGAGGTACAATATATTATATTTAACTCAACCTGAATATAAATTAAAATGTATACATATAAATAATAAATAAATAAATAAACTGATTCAAAAATACTTGTCATTTACAGGTATTTAATCTTGGAACATGTATCTGGTGGTGAATTATTTGATTATCTGGTTAAGAAAGGTAGACTGACGCCCAAAGAAGCAAGAAGATTTTTCCGACAGATCATTTCTGCTTTAGATTTTTGTCATAGTCATTTGATTTGGTAAGTGTTTGATAAACTAAATTATTTAAAAAATTATTGTTACACAATTATTTCTTAATAAACGTTATGAATAATTTCATTTGAAGTCTGCGTTTTTAAGAAAATTTTAATTGCATTATTATTTAAATATATATCTACTTATTGCAAGTAAACATATATAACGTTTTTTCAGTATATTCATTGGTGATAAATTTTATTAAACTAATACAGCCTAACTTAAAGTTTTTCTAGATTACTTTATGATTTTATTAAGTTAAATTGTATTATATGATTGCTCTCGCCTATCATTAATGCATAAAGAATGATTTATTCTGAATATAGATAATATTCAATGTTTTATTAAATGTTCTCTTTGAAATAAGATACAATTCAAAATATTTCAATGCATGAATATCAAAGTTTCTTATAATGAATTGTGAAGTAAAAAATTCTTTCTGTTGATTTCAATTCTCTAAAATTTTTGATAAATTAAATTACTTCCTAGAAACTTAATCAGAAGACTTTTGTAGTTCTTTTAGAACTTTTATAGTTTCTTAAGTTATTTTTATACCAGAGTATTTCAAAAAATAAAAAATTTATAAGCAAGGAAAAAATGATATTTTTCACAATATTTCGAAGAATTCGGGTCTATAATATCGAAAATTCAAAAAAGTTTCGTACAAGATCACACAACATCCAAAATAACTTGTTCTGAATAGTTCATAGAAACCTTTTTTTATTGCCTTGTCACTTCATGGTAATTTGTATGACTTTCAATAAAGGCATCAATGTCATTCATAATTTTTCACTTTGATAATGATATATGATTTTTTCCTTGTCTTGTTTAAATTTATCATAGTTATACAGAGAATAAAGCAAAAATAAATATCATGTTTAATAATAACTTTAAAAAGAAACTGTCCAAGAGCATGTATCTTTTAGAGTTATAGTCTCTTATTAAATAATTTAAAAAAAATTGAAAATGTCTAAAAAATAAACTAATTTGAATCCCTTTCAAAAATATTTTATTTCTATGTTCATCTAACAAGCTTATTAATTTTAAGTATAATTTAATCGGGTCACTATATTGATTTAAACGAGGAATTTAGGAAATTCTTGAAACCTTTGTAATATTTAGAACCCAAATGGGAATACGAGTTTTTATTTTCAGAAAACTACATACCAAAATCTAACCCGAGACTTCAAAAATTTAATGATTTATATTGTGCAATCAAATATTTTATAATTTCCTTCCAAAAAAAAAAAACTCAACTGATTAATGTTTTGATAATTTTAGTTTTAGTGACATGGTATACATATTGTAGCGTTATGGAAGGTACATTTCATTTTATTCTTTCCCCTAAAAATTGTTTTAATAATGAATTAAAAAAATAATATAAATTTGTTTTCTTAATTTTCGGAAGGCCCAGTCTCCTTACACTCAATATTGGCAATCTTAAACTTAATAATATCTTAAACATAAAACTCACTATGAGTGCGGAGTATATAAATGATCAAAATCCCAAATAATGAAAATAAATATATTGTAAAAACGTATTTTGAAGAAGATTATGAAATATTTCTCTTGCATATCACTCAAGACAAAATCTTAACATTTCTTGCCTATGGTTAAATTAATTTTTTTTTAATTAGTACTATGTGATGGTGTCACATTACCATTATTGTGAGAATATAATATTATATAGAATATAATCTGTATTATAATAAAATACAGACAGCACATACGCTTCTAGAGACTAACAATTAATATTTATTGCTAAATTGGCAATAGTCCAAATTATTATAAAAACCCAAAAGACCTGGCCATCTTGGTCAGTCGACTCCAGTGCCTTGTGTCATTCATCAGTCTCAGTATTCGGTTGTCGCTGTACGGCTTACTGTATAAAATCAAGTCTTTGTTTTTCCTTTTTCAACTACCTACTCTCATCCTCAACATTTCAGAGTATTTGTGGCTTGCACTTCGTCTGTACCTCATACTTTAGGCTTCTTTTTGAGTACATCTGGTATTTGTATCTTGCACTTCGTCTGCATCTCATACCTAGGTGTTACCTTTATTCCCTTTCGATAATAACGGCCTTTCTATACCCACAGCTAACCCGGAGTGTCAGCTGTGCACGGTTACTGCTGTATGATTACATGCATATGAATACCCAGTCAGCAGACTCAACATCAGTGTCGTACACTCATCTATCTTCGTACTCTATTCTATTATTTATTACGAAAACTGAAAAGACCCGGAAATCAGGTTTTGAGTACAAAAAAAAGCTGAATTGAACTGTCACTTCAAAATACGTTATTTTAGAACTCAAAACCTAATCTATAAAATCTATGATCCAGATCTTGATTTAAACTAAACAAATTATAACCCTTGTATTCTAGAATTCAAATTAATTACTTTAATTCGCATTTTGCACTTAAAATTATTGTTTTTTTTTTAGTCATAGGGATTTGAAGCCAGAAAATTTATTACTTGATGAAAAGACTAACATTAAAATTGCAGACTTTGGTATGGCATCGCTACAACCTAACGGCAGTATGCTTGAGACAAGTTGTGGTTCACCTCATTATGCTTGTCCTGAAGTTATTCGGGTTTGTAATTTTTGTAACTATTATTTACAATATTCTAATAGTTGAGTATTCTTCAACTCAACTTTTTTATAAAAAATAGGGTGAGAAGTATGATGGACGAAAAGCAGACGTCTGGTCTTGTGGAGTTATCTTGTATGCTCTTTTAGTAGGCGCTCTACCTTTTGACGATGACAATTTGAGGCAGTTATTAGAAAAAGTTAAAAAAGGTGTCTTCCACATACCACATTTTGTTCCGCCTGATTGTCAAAACTTACTTCGAGGAATGATTGAAGTTAATCCAGAAAAACGACTTACGGTTTGTTTACATTTTTTCAATCTGATAATCATTCAATTTTTTAATTAAAACCGAAAGAAGATAAATAACTATATTTTATAATTTTAATATTTTCTATTTTATGAATTGTCCAATTTAGAGTAGCTATTAGTTGATTTTTTTTTTCGAACTTACATTATAACTCAATTTTTTTTTTGCAGTTAAAGGATATCAACAAACATCCATGGGTTACTGCCGGAGGAAAAGGAGAAGTGCACTTAGGCATGTCTATGATTGACATTATTCAAACTCATATAATTCCGTCCGCCAGTGATTTAGATACCGACGTACTACAGGCCATTTCTAGTCTTGGTTGTTTTAAAGACCGGGAAAAACTTATAGCCGCCCTATTAAGCGTCGAGTAGGTGGATTTAGAAATATTTAAATATATATATATATATATATATATATATATATTTAATTTTATAATTATAGCACATAAAGCAATCAATATTAAAAATAATTGTAAAATTTAAATGAAAAATTTGTCTTACAATAGCTAATTTTTTGTGTAATTGAAATTAAATCAAAGTAAAAAATTGACTATTATTTTAAAAATACATATACATCACCTTAATTGAAGAGATTGGTGCAACAATCATATAAGTCCATGTCTTTTTCAGGATTTTTCAGGAGAAGCAATTATATTAACATTTTTTCGTTAAAGGTGTTTGAAAAATTAATCTTTCTAAATATCACAACTCTACAAATAATAAAAGAATAGAACTCGTTTTTTTCCAGAATTAGATAGAAAAGTCATATTTATTCAAAATTCACAAAAAATTATTTTCTAGAAAAATTAAACTTATCTAGTTATTGCACCAAGCCCTTCGTTGTAAAGCATAGAAGAAAATTTTTACTGACTACTATNGGTTCACCTCATTATGCTTGTCCTGAAGTTATTCGGGTTTGTAATTTTTGTAACTATTATTTACAATATTCTAATAGTTGAGTATTCTTCAACTCAACTTTTTTATAAAAAATAGGGTGAGAAGTATGATGGACGAAAAGCAGACGTCTGGTCTTGTGGAGTTATCTTGTATGCTCTTTTAGTAGGCGCTCTACCTTTTGACGATGACAATTTGAGGCAGTTATTAGAAAAAGTTAAAAAAGGTGTCTTCCACATACCACATTTTGTTCCGCCTGATTGTCAAAACTTACTTCGAGGAATGATTGAAGTTAATCCAGAAAAACGACTTACGGTTTGTTTACATTTTTTCAATCTGATAATCATTCAATTTTTTAATTAAAACCGAAAGAAGATAAATAACTATATTTTATAATTTTAATATTTTCTATTTTATGAATTGTCCAATTTAGAGTAGCTATTAGTTGATTTTTTTTTTCGAACTTACATTATAACTCAATTTTTTTTTTGCAGTTAAAGGATATCAACAAACATCCATGGGTTACTGCCGGAGGAAAAGGAGAAGTGCACTTAGGCATGTCTATGATTGACATTATTCAAACTCATATAATTCCGTCCGCCAGTGATTTAGATACCGACGTACTACAGGCCATTTCTAGTCTTGGTTGTTTTAAAGACCGGGAAAAACTTATAGCCGCCCTATTAAGCGTCGAGTAGGTTGATTTAGAAATATTTAAATATATATATATATATATATATATATATATATTTAATTTTATAATTATAGCACATAAAGCAATCAATATTAAAAATAATTGTAAAATTTAAATGAAAAATTTGTCTTACAATAGCTAATTTTTTGTGTAATTGAAATTAAATCAAAGTAAAAAATTGACTATTATTTTAAAAATACATATACATCACCTTAATTGAAGAGATTGGTGCAACAATCATATAAGTCCATGTCTTTTTCAGGATTTTTCAGGAGAAGCAATTATATTAACATTTTTTCGTTAAAGGTGTTTGAAAAATTAATCTTTCTAAATATCACAACTCTACAAATAATAAAAGAATAGAACTCGTTTTTTTCCAGAATTAGATAGAAAAGTCATATTTATTCAAAATTCACAAAAAATTATTTTCTAGAAAAATTAAACTTATCTAGTTATTGCACCAAGCCCTTCGTTGTAAAGCATAGAAGAAAATTTTTACTGACTACTATGTATTAATTTTATTTTAGTCTCTCTGAGTTTTTTTTTTTTTTTGAAAATGAAAATAAGTAATTTTTGTCTTTAATTTTAGACACAATACTGAAAAAGTTATATATTTTTTATTACTTGAACGCAAAAAAAGAAGGCCAGCTAATGAAGATGACTCATTGATAGTTAAAAATACTAGCAAAAATAGTTTTGACCCACCCAAAAAAAGAGTAGACACTTGCAAAATGATCGATGACATCGACAGCAATTTTTCACAAATCAGTGCTGGTTCCCCTGCTACACCCCGCAAACAGATATTACAGTAAGTTGCTTATTTAATTTACAGTTTTATGATGTAATTTAAAATTCATATTTTTGAATTTTTTTTTATTAGTCTGAAAATTTTGCTCTAATCCTACATCGTCTAATCTAATGTCATTTTAAACCAATAATTAGGATGATGTGTTAAATTATATTGGCTGTGCTGTATTTTATATTAGTTTTATCATTGATACTTAATATAATTTATGATAGCAACAAAATTTACTCATGAAAAATCTGTTACAGTTTATTGGTTAATGTTTTTAATTTAATTTTTCGTGTTATTTTTCACAATGAAATGTGAAAAAGGTCATTTTTAATTGATTTTGATCATAAATACCCTAAATTAAATACCAAAAAATTTGGATTGTCTTCTTCTATGCAAGATAGTTAATTGTTATGGCAAAATATAACAGAAATTTTAAATCAAACTATTGGGGCAAAAAAAATTTTCTTGAAAATTTCTTTTTATTTTAACGTAATTTTGAGATATTTTTCAACATTTTTAAAATTGAGGGGTCTTTTCCAATTTTTATGACAATATTTTCAACTATATTAAACTTTGGTTATATTGACGTATTCATTATTAAAATCGATCCATCGAGAACTGAGAATTTTTACGGATAGTCGTAAAAAACAAACGCACACTATCACAAACCTTAGCTTCTCATCCAAACTAATAATTAAATTTTAAGCAAGAAATATTTCATGAATTATATCATATTAGTTTCCGCAAAAAATCCTCATGAAAAATTAAGTATTAATTCTATATTATAAAAATGTCTAGTAGACTTATGCGTATCTAGGATACTAGAGAACTCAGCTCTTCAGTTGACAAATTAGATCTCTACAAATTTATAAAATTGTATAGAAATAATATATATAGTTATCTTAAAATATTTTGAGATGAGGGAAAAATACTTATAACCCTTATGGGCGTAGTTCATTAATTAAACTTAGTACAACATCTTTTGTTAGTCTAAATTTTTATACAAATGCCCTTTCAAATAAAACTTCAGAATTTTTGTCTTCTGAAGTTTTATTAATGTAACTAGAAAACATAGTAACTAGTTTTGTGACATAAAAATGAACAGATCTTCTGTTATACTTAATCTCATTTTTCTATGATCATTATCTTGACCTTTTTCAATAATATCTAAATTATTTATAACTTTAATACAAGCATATTAATATGTTATATTTTTGTCTTATTTAATTATTTTGGAAACTTTATAAGGTTATACGTTTTCATAAGAAAATGAATGATAACAGTAATTAGTTCAATTCTAAAAAGTTCATCAAAAACTTCAGTACACTAATAAATATTTTTTTGCACACCCACATTCAAAAATACGATTTTTAGTTTCTCATTAATAGTTGCACTAAAACATCGTGTTTTAGTACGCTAAACAGATTAGTACACCAATATAAAATTCAAAAATAGACCCACAGATACCAGACAACAATGAAAAAATCACATGAAAAATCTCGTAGGCACAAACGGCTCAACTGTAGCCATTACTATAAAATGTTGATAACTTCCGAACTAATACGCATAGAGTTGTGTAATTCATAAAAAAATTACCCCCATATTAATAATACTTGAATAAACCTCAAATTATATATTTTATTAATTAAGAAAATTAAAAATTGAGGGAAATAATGTTAAGTAGCATTACTAATAGATTAAATATATTTGATTCTTTTATTTTGAACCACTTTAATTAGTAAAAAAATCAATTGTATTAATCCAACTTTATACAACTAATCTATGATGAATAATTATTAAGTTACAAATATTTTAATGTATAGAGTGGGTATGTGCACAAGTGAGTAGAGCTCGTACTGGTGTATATTTATAACACATACTTCACTCACCCTACATTTTAATTTAATGTATTAAAATTCTTGTAACTCAATTATTATATGTTGTCCTAAAATCATTATTAGTTATTTAATCTTAATTTTTAAGAAATGTGCTAAAAACTGATTATTTAAAAATTTATGAATAAAAATAACTTATTTTTAGACTATTTTCAAAATTAAAAAAAAAAAAAATTTTTAATTTAATTTCACCTTATGTATATTTATGTGTTAAATTCCTTGTATTCAATAACTATATTAAAAGTCAAAAATAAGAAGTATCTTTTAATTTGCAACTGTTGTTATCAGTTATCTTTATTTTACCCTAATTATCGAATCACATATTTTCATTGATATAAATTCAATGTTATGCCAATAAATTTTTTTTTAGTGTATTGTTCTTCTTTTTGTAATTTACTCAACATAATTATGGTGATTACGTTGTGTAACTAATTGAAGTAGTGGTCTAAAATGAAATAATAATTAAGTGAAAACTTCATTTTAATTATACCATGTTTGATGCCTGAAAGTGATTAATATTCATAACTCTTCTCCATTATTATTTATAATCAAATTTAGGTAACGTTAAAAAAAAGTCAAATCACGGTTCCGTCAACGCATTTTTTATTATAATTGTATGGACGTATTTGTTTTCATTATCTGCTACCAAAAGATTACACATTAATTGAAGTTTCTTTATTTCTTTTAAGTTTTCATTTGAGAGAGAAATAAAATAATAGAAACACATTGTAATTCAATTGAAATTAATTAGGTAAAATGTAGTAAAACTTTTATATGGATTTGCGGAAGTCAATGTAGTTATTGTAATTCGATCTATAAAAATTGATGCATATTGTTAATCTATCCTAATATAGTTAATATGATCAATCTAATTTTGACTACGATTATTTAAGGTTTTTCTTTATCATGAACCAATTACTTAATCGAAAAATAAATATTATATTAATATATACTGATTTTTTGGCTACATATTTTTTTTTCCAATTATCGACCATGAAGAATTTTTTATATTCATTTTAGCTTAGTATTGTTTGATATCTGACAGTATTGAAATCATTGTCATAAAACCCTTCGATGCGCATTAAAAATAAAATTATAAACTGCCACTTTCATTAAAAATGTTATGATTTTTAGTTTTAATGATCAATAAATTCTAAATTTAGAGATTTCGGATAGTTTCAATTTTTAAATCATAAAATACATTGTATTAGCTTTAATTTAATGTAGATTTAAAGAATCCGCAGTTGGGCGGGCGGTCTCTCCATAAGTTATTGTTTTTTCAAAGTTACTTGTACATAATAATATATTTTTTTAAGTTCTTATTAAATAATTTGTACAGATTGTATATATTTTTTTAAAATGATAAAAATAAAAAGTTTAAAAAAAGCAGGTGTTTTGGAAAATTATCAAATATTGAAAAGAAAAAATTTCGATTTAAATATCTCTTTAAGTATCTAATTTATGACGGTTTTAACGTAAATTCGTTCAAAACGTTTTAAGATGAAATTTATACTTGTATTTTGGTTACATTACATATATTGACAGGTGATATATTAGGGAAAATGCTTCTTCTAATAAATTTCCATAATATCGCGGAAAATAACTTTAATGCGGAAAAAAATGTAAACAAATTTGTAGGTGATGGTTTTTCAGTATATTTTTTTTATCATGCATTACCCATAAAATTTGACAACGGGTATGAACTTAATTAATCAAAAAAAATATTCATATTTTTTTTTACACTTTTTTTTGTTCATCTATTATATTATAAATATGTTAACTTAAAATTTTAAGATGGCAACATACATAATGAACTTATTTATTAAATCTAATTAAGAAAATTACAAGTTGAATCAATTTATCTATTATTAAGTACATTTTCGAATCATTCCTTATATCTTAGAGGGGTCCTAATATTAATTTTTTAAACGATAACGTACATAATTAACTGAATTTTTTATTAGCTAATAATTTTATTTAGAAAATAACTAGTTAATTCCAACATTTGGACAAGCATATCGGAAGTTATTAGCATATTTATACCTATCGCGGTAGTAGGAGAACAGCTGAGAAATATCTACTGATACTATTGATTTAAAACAGTGACTGAAGGTAAGATACAAGTGCTGCTGCTATCACTATAAGTTTCTCGGCTTCACTCCTCCTCCTTCCGCCTTTGTATAAAAAAGTTAATAACTTCTAAAATATTAGTCCAAGAGTTGTTATAGGCTAGAAACTTTTTTAACTAGGTTAAAACCTATTAAATAAGATGGTTAATTTTCTATGGTGCCACTTGTAAAATAAACTTACCATATAAGGTATAATGGATGAACATTAAATATTCTTCACGATTGATAAATTAAAAAAAGCTTGAAACTAAAAAAATATATTAATATTATTTTTATTTTCGATTAATTAAGTGATTTATGACAAAAAAAGTGTATTACACTATAGTACATTGACATTATTAATGTATTTTCACGAAATACTATTTGTTGCAAGTATTATAAAAATATATACCATGTTAATAATTAATATCTTCTCAGATTTGCACCGATGTTAAAATCGTTTAAATTACCTCACTAGATCAAGAAAAATTTAATGCAACTATTTTAATTATTGTTGATTACGTTTATAAGTCGTATCATCGTAACTCTAACTATTACAATCTTGATCAATCGAATGCCGTGGGAAAATAATGGGATCAACTGCTACACAAAATAAAATGTATAGTAACTGATACTGAAAGATTTAAGTTTAATTTTTATTGGTGTAATTTAATTGTCTAAGCTAAAGTTTGTTTTTTCGTCGAATTTGTATACGGTAACGTAACAAAATCGACGAAAAAATCGATCGTTCTTGTAATTAGTAAACAATAATAAAGATAAAACTATTTATTTAATACAATACGTAGATAAAATAAATAAATACATAGTTGGGTCAAGTAGATTTTCTGTTAATTTTTTTTTTTGTTTTGTATTTTAAATACATAGTTTTAACTAAGAATTGTTACTTTTAAATTTACATTAATATAGTATTAACAGTATTTGTACATAATATCCTGGGTAGTATTTTTTAAGGTGAGAAACCCAACTATTTTGTTAATATACAAAAAAAATCTGATAACTTAAAAATAAAGGTCATGAGAGTAAAATATACTCAAAAATATTTAATGTAACTTTTTTTGATAAAGCATAACAACAATTTTTTCATAGTGTTACAGAAAATCCTTAATACCAAAAAACTATATTAATTGTGTACATTTTTTTTTTTATAGAAATCGCATTTATTACAGACGGGGCAGCTACAACAACGTAAATGCGACAAGTGGAAATTTAGGTTCAAATTTAGCTAGTTCTTCGACACTAGCTGGTATACTGTCACCTCTTCCTCAAAGGTAAAGCCTATTTATAAAATATTAGACATTTACTTTTATAATACTTTTTTTTTTTAATTATTGAAGAAACAGTTAATATTAATCAGAATATGTTTGACTATTAAATAATAAATTATGCCAATATTTTCCAAAAACTGATTCAACAAATTAAAAATTACCACGATGACTAATGACATTTTTTAATTGTTAAAAACAAACCTTATTAATACAAATCATAAAATATCAGAAAACACCATTTTTATGACTTCACAGTTTTTTAATACAAGTCAAAGATTTATAATACTAATAAATAATAGCCTAATTCATTAAGTTGATTAATAAAATAATTACTTTAAAATATTAACTGGTTAATGAATTTATCTTAGATACCCAATCAAAATTATTAGTTAATTAATTAAACTCCTTATTTTTCAGATCTAATTCTACAAATTATCGTTACCACAACCATCATCATAAAAGTCCTTCGACAAAATCACCCACGACTCCCTCACATGGCAACTATATATCATCACATAATCATTCCAACAGTAGCGGAGGCAGTAGTAGTAGTATAGATACTATCAGTATGAACAACAGTATAGTGAGAAATATACCGATTGTGCCGCCATCGCCAGTGCATCATGCTAAGCAAGCTAAAGTTGACATGCAACATCCACCTGCAAATTCAAGTAAAATTAATTCATCTTAAATCAGATACATGTTTATTTTTAATTTAGATGAAACCTATTTTCATATCATTCGAAATTGGTGATAATTAAAAAAAACCTATTTTTTAACCGCGTTTCAGTTGTATTAAATCGAATAAAAAACATTACCTTTGTTTTGTTGTCACTAAGCTCCATATACTATAAATTACATATAGTATTGTTTGTGTTCAACAGTTGCCTGTACCCCACCCGAGTCACCGTCACATTTATCGAATCACTGGAAATCAAGACTAACGTCCATACGAAATAGTGTTTTAGGTTCCCCAAAGTTTCATAGGCGTAAACCTCAGCGTGAGTAACCAAAATATCGGTACATACAGTTAGTGACACAAAAACAATTAAACGTGTATAATATTTTCAGTGGATGTGATAGATAATGTGTACAAACCTACGCCCGAATCCTCTCCAGAAATGACTAAAAGGTCGTGGTTTGGCAGCCTCATGGCGTCAGAAAAAGACGAAACGTTTACTATTCTGATAAGTGGTAAACCTCTATCCACCGTCAAAGCTGACCTGATTCACGCTTTACTATCGGTAAGTAGATTTTATCATAATTTCAGCGTCATAGAAAACTCAAATTATCATAACGCGTAAAAATCAAAGTGTAACCAGACCTATAAATTCTATGAAAACACATTTTAGGCAAACCACTGTATTGGCCAAATCCTAGTTTCAATAAGTTTTACTACTATTGGGAAAAACTCCAAGAACTTTACATAATATGTAATTAATTTACATAGTTTTTTATACTATAAAAATAATTGAACCTTTCTATATTTTTATTGAGCTACATTACAGTTAATTGATTAAATATTTTATCTAATTTATAAACAACCATATAAATTGTGTAATTTGTTTTTGTTTACATGTTACATACTGTTATGGCTACTCTCCTGTGTGAACTCTTTGATGTCTAGTTAGTGTGTATTCATGCTAAAAGGTTATAGACAAACTACTCGTTAATACGGTTTTCCATCTTAGTTATTATTCTGTTTCCTAGGAAAATTTTCTTTTTGACATTCGCTGTATATACGATATGAAATTTGTCCTATTTTCATCTGTAATTACTATTATTATTTATTAAATTGGATTAATTTTCGCTAACATTCATAAGTATTAAACATTTTTTTTTTAAATAAATATATTGAATTTAACAGATATATTTTAGACTACGTTACCATTGTTGNATATATATATTCATATTAACATGTTATCCCAATGAACCACAACTTTTAAACTACAAGGCCTATTAATGAAATATATATATATAGGCAAGTGTACTGACTGAGTGGGTTTTGTTGTCAGATTGGTGTATGGAAGAATTTCGAACCACTGCTGCAAAACTGATATAAATCCTTAAACTTGACGTTTCCATAACAACGGCACGCATGTTGCTGCTTGCATGTGCACACATATTGTACTTTTGTGGCAAGTAATTGACTAAGTCTATAGGCCTTAGGCTATGACTTTGTACACTATGCATGCAGTACATGTAGCATCCCTCAGATTTTTCCATTCATCCCTCTAGTTTTCCGGCCATAAAATGATATTTAATCGCACTGTCTATAACTAGAATTATTAACGGAACTCGGTGATCCTTTTCAATATTTGCCTATTAACGCTAACTCCGTCATAACCGAATGACTCTTATCTTCTGTGTAACTTTTCGACACAGTATATTGGCTATAAATGGATTATATATACAATCAGCTTAGTATTAACGTATGTATTATCTGCGCTAGCGATATTTTTCCAGCTTATCATTGCTAAAGTTCAGTAATTTATTCTTTTGATAAAGTTATTTTCGGGAGTAAACCAAATTACAACCATTTTAATTTTGCAGATATCAGAGCTGAGCCATACTGTCACGAGCCCATTATCGTTTCGAGTCGAGTATAGGAGAGGTACAGGAGGGACAGCGATGTTTCAAAGACAAGTACGTTTCCAAATCGATCTCTCAGATGTAACGAACTCAAATTCAACCAGAGACTATTTGTTTGCCATTGTATTCACTCTTCATTCAGGTAAATTCACACGTCAAACAATTCATACAACTCGATGCAATTCAATTTAGAGATATTTTTATTATTCATATCCGTACTCGGATCTACCCAACTTCTCAGAGTATGGAGCTGTCAAGTAGTAATCATTTGCACGTTTATAAATTTGTCCGCAGGTAATATACGTCGATTTCGTAGGGTATGCGATCACATCCAAACGCAAATGTGTGCTAGAAAAACGGTCCCTTCTTCGCCAAGAGCGGGCAGAAAATTTAACACTGACCTATCAGAGAGCTCAAGTTGTGGTTCAGATACTTCTGAAAGGCTATCGCCTTACGTGAATTTCAGAACCGTGAGTCATCGTACTTATAACGATTACGTCATAAAAATTCAGCATTATTGTTATAACCGACCGCATTTATTTTGCGCGCAGGTCGAATCTGATCATAGGGACGACAAAATGAGACTGATGACCGGCCAATGCGGCGTGCCTTCTGCTGTTTCGCATAACCGACAGAGGAGACGCAGTTCCAGTTTGGCAAACAGCAACCACTTCAATGGTAGTAACAATAACTCGCTAGCGAATTCACCAGTAGGATCTGGTGGAGGTAGCAGCAACGGCCGAAGTGATGTTCAAATATTACCCACCCGCTCTAACAGCGAGACTAAAACAACCGACAGCTCTTACATGTCGGTGTTAGGCTCGATGTCTTGATCAGAACTGAACGCAACGATTTCCCGTTAATGATATTCGTTTAAAAAGAATTATTATTATTGCATAGGTGTATAAAATTATTATGTGAATACATAAGATTGGAACAATATATTTAGTAAAAATGAATAAATCGCATGGGTGTTGTAAAGTAAATGAGAACTGAAAAAGAGCAAATGGAAATCTATATTTTCATGCACAAGATATACAACATTTTGTCATTGAGATTTTTTATTTTTTTATGATTGAGCTTCATATGATGTGCATTTTTAATATATATATATAAATATATATTGATAATTATTTATCTATAATTAAGCAATTAAAATTAGTGAACGGCAATGGTAGACAGTGATGATTGTAATTTTCAGATGATTTCAGTTACATACAAGTACTGTTTATGCGAAAGTTATAAGTTCTTCTTAGTTCCTATAGGTAATGTTTGAAAAATTCTTTAATTGAAAGTTAGTAGACAACGATGAACTTTTTATCGAATATCATCAAATAGATAATAGGTCTAAGAATTCTAATATTGCAGAATATTCGTTTTACTTACCAGAATCGAATTGTTAATAATAACAGTAATTGTCAAGAAGTGAACGTGCACTAAATGTTTATATTATTTATTGAGTGTAACTATGATTAACTGGTAAAATTACATACATTTCTTTGTAAAATAACTAAGTCTGACAATATAACATGGAAAACTTTAAAAAACCATAAATTTTCCAAAATTTGCTCCAATTTTTAGTAATTAATTAGTTACAATTTTAGGTTGCACAGTAAGACATTTAATTAAAAAACAAAGTTGCCAAAGTATGAAAATCAATAGTTTAACTAAAAGTTTTCTACATTTAAGGTGTACACATTTAAAATTGTGAAATAAAAAATAGACATATTATTTAGGGTGAATTGGCGTAATTATAATTAATTATTTCTCTTATAATATTATATTTTATTTTATATAGAAAATTTTTGGTACTTATATGTGTTACTATCATTATAATTGTAAGTTTGAAATAAATTGTATGTATTTACAACTATTCCTATCTGTACAATTACATCAATTCACTCTATTTAATTTTAAAACCTGATTTAAGAATGCCATTAATCTTAAAACTAACTTTTGGTTTCTGATATTAAAATAGGTGACCATAATAGGGAATCGAATATAAAAAAGTAATTATAACTTTCAAAATATTGTGATACGAAACAGTTCTGGAACATCCTCGACTTGTACTGCAATTTATTAATTTTACTCCTTACTTAATTTATAAAAAAATCTTACAAATATCAACGAGTCAGAAATAATGAATAATTAAAGATAATATTTATTAGAATCAACAAGATAATTTTTTTAAGTAAAAATTTATTGCGTTTAATAATTTGTTAGAAGTTAAATAATACTTCAAAGAATTTAAAAGATGACACGGTACTGTGTCACGTGTCAGAGATGATCTTCATTTCCTATTGAAACCAAATTATTTAATAAAAAATTACTTGTTTCATGGCTTATTCCAATGTGATGCTTGTATTGTTTTAAATCTAGTATTTTGTTTTATTTTTAAGTTTTTCAGTGTTGACCACTTCAACTGTGGAGATCTCTATTAGCATAATTTAAATAATTTTTTTTTAAGAAATTGAGTGCTTAAAGCTTTTATTGTTATTGCATATTACAATTTTTTTCATTATACAATTGCACTGTGATCTATGTTTTTATTATACCATTTAAGTTTTTATTTTATATTATATAAAGTATTCAAAATCAAAAAAAGGAATGTATTGTTTTAACATCTGTATTTACATTATAGTATAAATAACCACTCTTCAAACGTTACATAAACAATTTTTACAGTATGCTAAGTTAATTACTATAACATAGTGCCTTAATTATGCATAATTTTTTTTTTGAAAACTTATAACGCATTAAAAAATGAATTAATTGATCATAGCATTATTATTTTTCGTTATTGTTTAATTTGTAAAATAATACTTAGGGAGTCAACTTCACTGCTTTTCTTAAGAACTTAATTTTTTTTTAAATAGCATATTGATGGTATTGTACTACTATGCATACTAAATGTTATTATTCATTTACCATTGAAAAATTTGTATAAATATATAATTAACTACTATTTAATTAATTAATCCTACTATAATTTAAAATTAAACAATTTTCAATCCAACCGTCAAATACTTGCAAAAAATATTATGTTTATACGTCTGTATATTATTTGTGAACAAACTAAATGCAAATAAATACTATTAAACTTGTTAATAAAATAGACTAATGTGTACTGATTATTGATAAAGTCCTCTACTTCTAAAATATACGTTAAATGATCGACTTAATGGGTGTTAATCATGTAGTTTCAAGTGAACATATTAATTTTAGTACCAGGAACTTATGAGAATCATTGATAGTTTGAACAGTTTTATCGAATTATGTTGGCGGCCACTTGAAAATCACTAACGAGACACCGGACACCTTATCGAGACACCTGAGCATACGATCGCATACATTGGTATTCATGAATTCCTGGTACCGGTTTTGATATTTGTAAAACAATATAGATAGTAACACAACACTAATGTCGGTAAATATGTCGCACTTGTCGAGCGTGCCTTATTAATTCCTGGTACAAATTTTTAATGAATTAGTATAGAGATGTAATTTGGATATCTATTAAAATATGTCTTTCAAACGAGGACATTTTCTGGGTCAGAATAGAGTTTGACCAACACTATAGAAATAATCGTATGTTTAAAATCCAATTAGGAAGTAGAAAATTTATCTCTTAGTCATGATACTTTCTATTTTATGAAATAAATTGTTTTATACCAAACATTGGGCTGAATTTTTCGTACGGCCATGAAAAATGTTTATTTTATTTTTGTGTGAATCGAGTCTAATTAATGTTAATCTAGTTAAATATTTCGATAAATATTTTTAATTTTATAAGAGAGATATATCTCTTTTACTTTTCTGAAAATGAGCAAATATTCAAAGTTTATTGATGACATGCATATAAATTTTCTGAATTGCACTAAAATTTCTTGTTCTCGGGGTATTTGTGCAAACAACTATACGAATTAAAACTATATTAAAAATATTATTAATATAGTTTTAATTTTAAATAATATTAGCCACAAGTGATCATGTCATTTGCCACCATTTTCTACTTATTTTAATTAAAATTTATTTGTGAATAGAATACATTAAAATAAAAGCAGTAATGGCGATTTTTAAATTTGACATTACGATTATAAAAAAATAATGTACACACTGTTTGTTACGACGTTCGTTGAAAAACTGATAACTCGATGACGAGTTCTCCATTCGAGAAAATGTTACTCAAACAGTGTAACATGAACACGAACCCGTTGCCAAACGCATTACACTTCAACGTTACACCAAAATGTTTAAGTGTATACCTTTACACAAAGCCTATTACAAGTTAGAACCCCCACCTACCTCAGGTCCATTTTGTTTTCGAGTGAAATGGGTTACTATCAAGTGGTCCTTTAAACCGGGAACGGGAAATACTTTACAAATCTACTGAACTATATGATTTGAAATTTAATTATAAAAAATATGTCTAAATGGCTCACACAAAGTTCGTATAAAGGGGTATCAATATTTTATTGTAATTAAGTAAATGCGTTTTTAAAGAATTTCACGGGATGTGATTGGAAAAGACGATTAAATTTGTTTTTTTTGTAATTTAGAAATTTTTCGTCAGTTTGTGTAGTTTGATTATTAGACGGCTTGTTTGGTCTGTTGTACAGAAATTTTGCAATCAAACGCGGCCTTTTTATTTTTTTACGGTCGGCCATTTGATCACCACCACCAGACAAGTGTTTCTGGTCTTTTGAATTATCATATGTTTGTGCATCAATATTTTTATTTATTTTATGGTATTTATGTATTCGGTGCACTGGTGTTCTGATATGCTTACATTCTTTATGTACGCGTTTTTGTTTGGGATTTACGGGCAAATTACATTCACTGCACAACGACAATGTCACATCCCGATAACAGTAAAAAATGTTAGGAAAATTATCATGTAGATATCTCCTGAGAGTGTTCTGTTTTTCGTAGCACTTGCTCGAGCGAACACGATAGACTACTGGAACAGTTTTTAACTTTTGTTTTAAGTTTTCATCGGAGTTCTGAAAAACAATATATTTCTTAAGTTTGACTAGAGATCATAACTTGTGCAACCATTAACTAACTAAACAGCTTATTTCAACAATTTCATTATAATTCGAATCATTTTTGTCATTGGCAAAACAAACTTTCCCAAAATTCAGAAAATTATATTTATTGTTATACAAAAAATTATTTTAGGATTATTTATCCCCTAAAATTTTCTATTCTAGTTGGATCCTATGATTTTTGTTCAATTTGTGTGTTTAATTTTTTCTCGCGAATGAATTTTAGTATTCATTTTTTTTCTGCTTAAAAATGGTTAAAAAATATAATGATTTCTTAGGGATTATTTTATACAAACAACATACTTACTGTATCAGAACAACCATATGATTCATGAGGGTTATTTTTGAGATTTTTTGCATTAGCTATTATACAACATTTTGAAGGTTTTTTTTTATGAACCAGTCGTTCCGATTGATGCATAACAGCTGATAAAAAAATAATTAAGGCGATATTTGTACAGTATTGAATCAAGCGTAACTATAGAATTCACATTTTAAATTATATCATCAAATTTTAGCCATTAAAAAGTAGTTTACTTGTCGAAGTTGAAAACATTCATTTAATCGCATTTTAGTATAACCATTATTAAACCGATCAAAAAAATTCATTAAATTAATTATCCAAGAATACAATACGTGTGTAGAACTAAAACTATTAAGAAATTGACTATGCAGTTTTAATTAAATATTAATGAAAATATGCAGGATTTATTATAAAATATTCGACTAGCCTCTCTCTTCAAACGCCATATATAAAGGTCTTTCAACAAATGCTATTCCTGGTAATCCTCCGACACGATTAAAGCACAAATGGTGTAGAGATCTATTAGCTTTAGAGGAAAAAAAACAATGACAATTATTTGAAAGTGTCATCAACGGATGGCTTATTTTGTCAAATATTCATGTCGTATGTGGGTCAGCTCGTGATCATCTTAAGGGCTCAGTGCACGCACGGCGTTTCTTAGGCCTTTACAGTAGTTCTATCGCTCGGTGCGTTTTTTACCACCCGGAATGTCGTTTAACTTGTTGGTTTCCCACCAAGTTAACGCCATTCACTTTAAATATTGTACGCCGGTCTTAACTCATAAATGCCCACTCGAGCGAGTACGTTTTCTACCTGATCCAAAAATTCGCCTGGGTCCTCTTTAAAATTACTCGAAAATTCCGTCGAGGGAGCCGTACGTCGGATGGAATGTATCGGCGCCATAAGTGTGCGCGATTGGACGTCGAGTACATACCGTCCGTTGATGGCGCATATGAATGTGGCACGAAATGACGTGCGTGTTGTTCGCGTGGTTCGTATACATAAGCCGGCGGCGATAGCGGGACGACACGCGTGTGGTCTGACCATTAAAAGTCCGTTAAGTTTACTGGCCTCGCGTTCCTCGATCTCTGACAGACGTTGTTGTAGGGTCCCGTTAGGTGGTGTTGTGTGGCCCAAAAAATGACCAGGCTCGGGAAATTAGTACAATCCGTTTGTACTGGTTCTCGCGTCCTTTGTGCGGTGGTGAACGGGCCCTGTGTGTTGCGCGGGCAATGGAACGTACGGTACAGATGTCGTCTACGTTGGCTGGATCGTTAAGGCACTTGGGTTACCTCGTTGAGAGACACGAATCGTCGAGTGCCAAATTAACCGGCTGTTCCGCGTTTGTAGTCGGTCCGGTGGTACTCGGCCGTGTTTCCGTCGAATTCATTGTTGATCAACTCTGTTGATCGACATTCTTCTTCTTCTTCTTCTTCTTCCTCGCCTTAATTCCAACTACTCGGGGTCGGCCAAAATCTGTTGATAAACATTGTTGATGAAAACTCATCTGAAGACGGTTTGTTGTTAAAATGTTGTGGCCAATTACCGTTTTTACTGGTCCACTCTTTAGGTTTTCGTGTCCTAATACCTGGGATTGTGTCTACAACAACTACCTTTGTAAATTTTTGCTTTTTCTTTGAATTTAGCATGGTAGTAGTACAGCTGATTTTTTGTCCCTATTTCTAAACTTAGAACTAGTTCGTTATACATAATTTACTCGACTATATCATCCAAATTCTTCAATTGCCTTTATTGGTTAAACTATTTGCTCTTCCAGATATATTTGTGTTGTTATTGTAAGTAGAATTTTTTATCAGTCGCTAGCCGAGCTGAATTGAAAAGTGAATCTTTGCTAGTTGTAAGTATTGCTTACATTTGTTTAGATAGACGTGGACACGATAAACTTTTGAATAGATTTTCATTTAACTTTTTTCTACCTCTAAATCATGCAATAGTTTTTTTTAATTATAGTTTCTTCCTATTCACACTGTCTATTGATAAATAATTATTTTAGTTTCCAGTTCTTGTTATTCGATAGTGGGTTTATCACAATGTCCGTGACATGTGACAGTATGTCGCTATCTAAAAAATACTACAACGAAATGAAATTTCTGATTTAAGAATTTTTTTTTTTTATAACGTTTAACTCTCAGTACAAAATTTTAAATAAATCATTAGTAGGCAATGTAAACTTTTAAAATAAATGTTCTAAATAAAGTAACAAGTAATTTTTTGAATCCTCCTTAAATGATCAATAAAATTTGAAATAAAACTAATATTTCAATAATTAAATTACACTAAAATAACTTAATAAGTATTTCCGACACTGTAATTTAAGTTAAATTACTAACTAATACTGGACGCAGGTCTAGTGTTGGGTAGTGTATTTAATCGTTTAATAATTATATTTTAATAAATATATTTTTGTATGTATATATATATAGACATTGACTAACATTATTTGTTTTGTAGTAATATTTAATGTATCAGTTGATACATTGGCGACAGTGATGTTTTTATAGCTCATAAATTATTATTAATTATAATAAATTATAAATAATTATTTATCATAGTAGTTTTAAACAGAACTTTTGTTATCATAATAAACTATTCTGCTATTACTTTTGGCATAGTCGATGAAAATTAGTTTGTTGAAAAAAGAAGAATATTGTATTTTAAATAGTAAAGTAACAATAGAATGGTTCGATCAGATAAAAACAATAGCAAGAACAAAATTGGTTGTAATTTATTTTTCTATTATATTACCAAGTTAAAAATAAAGAGGGGTTCCTATTTAAAATTTTTAAGATTTTAAATTTAAAAGGGTGAGAAAAAACGATTGTATTTTTGGGATCAAATAATTTTTTTCTTTACAAAAGTTTATATTTTGAGAAAATGAGTGTCTTACCAGACTTTGATCATTCTATATACATTTCTACCTGCTATTTTTCGTATTAGAACTTACGTCGGTCCAATATTTTCATATGTTTAGGTTCTTTATAACTTATAAAGGCATGTTTATTTTATGGATTTTAAATATGTTTGATACATTTCTTTCAACTTTTTATGACATTTTATTAAGGCATCTATTAATTACAATTGTCGTAAGACGAAGTAAGAGATGTATATTAATGAGTGTACAGATATGCTCAACTGACATTCCGATTCTTTTGAAGAGCTGTTGTTTTAAGAAGTTTTAGGAAAGTAACGCCATCGCAAAAGTGCAGACGTAGTGTAGGACACAAATATCTTGTGCACAAGAATGGAGCCCGAAATATAAGGTGCAGACGAAGTGCAAAACACAAGTGCTTGAATTAATCAATAGAGAAAACGAGGTAGGTGAGAGCGTTGAAAATGAACAAACTAACTCTTGATGAAGGTTGAAGGTCAGACAGTGACAATCGAGACATTTTGACAATTAAATCTTGATGTGTATACACTGAAGTCGTCTGATCACTTTAGGCAGGTCCAAATTGTATAAATAGTTTTTAAATTAATGTGTAGTCGCATATTTTTATGTGCAACGTAACGGAATCATCGCAACAGAAGTGTTGACTTAATTTATTATTAATTTCTTACAGTTATTAACAATATTGATAACGTGATACTGTGACAATATATTTAGTTCTTTTTTATAGATTTAAGTTCTCTTGCTCCCTATTTTTTTTTTATTGTTAGCACAATTAAATCGATTAAACACGACACCGACTAATAACATATGGCAGGCTAATTTTAAGCTTAAGGGAACTAAACCTCCACTTAATTATTCCAACGTTTCTTAAATACTTTAGGTGTTAAATTTTAAACATTCTATTCTGATATACCAATTATAAGTGTAGTAAATTTCAAATTATTACAACAAATACACAGGTCTATAAGACTTCAAAATTTTTTAACAAGTGTACGATTTATAATCATTAATATAATTATATTTCAGTAAAAATTGAAATAGAGTTCAAAGAGAATGCAATTGCTATTATGAATTAATATGAATTAGGTATTTTCAAAAATCCTTATATTTTATTTAAATCAAATAGTATAACAAAATATAAATAAATAAAAAAAAATGTTTATAACTATATATAATATATACAGAAAAACTGTGATTCACTTAAATAGTGATTTTCATTTAAGTAAAATTTTCTATAAATATATAAAAATATATTTACATAACAAATAATATTATTATTTGCTATTCAGACAATATTTTAAATTATAATCACAATAACTTAAAAAAATGTTTTTTGTTACATTATATTTATGATCCACATTTTACTTTGTTTAAATATTTTATAGTATTAAAAGTTAGAATTATTTCTTGACTTTGGTAAACAGTAGTAACTTCCATTGGTATTAATACACATTTCATTGGATGTACAACGATTTGACAAACTACATTCATTTATATCTGTAAAAAAAAAGTAAAATACTATAGGGGTCCAACAAAGTAGAGTTGGGTATTTTTAAGACTAGTATTGATAGATTTATTAGTTATTAAAATCACTGTCATATTATGTTTCGTTGATGCATATTTGATACAAATTAAAAAAAAAATTAACATACACCTAAAAATTACATAATTTTTGACTTTAGAGACATATAGTTCATTAAATAAGATATAATTTGATTTAATTCTGAACTATGTAAATGATTCTATAAATAATTCATATAAATGAATTCAAAACAAATCAGCTATTTTTAATAAAAATTGTATGGTTTTGTCTTTAATGTCCAATAACTTAAAAAAAACCTTAAATTTGATTTAGTTTTGAATGATGTAAATGTTCTGTTGCTATATAAAAACACTTCAAAATCAGTCATTTTTATTGAAAAATGTATGATTTACAACTTTAATGCATGTTAACTCATAGAATTCAGATCATTCTTCTATCATCTAAATTTACATTGAACAGTAAAAATTGCAATAACGATGACCTCTATACGACAGACACCTCTATGCAATGATCATATTTTTAGACCCATCAAGTGATACAGAGAAAAAACACTAATACCTCTATATAGCAGTCAGAATATAAAAATAAGCTAAGTAAATTTACGTCAATTTAGTAGCTTTATTCAGTTGACCAAAATCTTGATACTAAAGAAGTTTATTAATGAAATAAAACAAATGATTGTGTTCATTCTTCAAAAAGGTGATATAGTTGTTTATAAATTACTAAAATCTACAGACATCCATTTTGAAAACATTTTTTTCAAATAATAAAATTAATTTAAAAAATATAATAAAAAAAAAAAATTAATTTTTTTTCAATAATTTATTTAATACTGTACTAAATAAAAACCTAATCTAATACCCATGTTGAATAATTAATTTTTTTTTTGTAGTGTGCACTATACTTTTGATGTATAATTGAAAAAATTAGAGATAAACACAAAAAAAATTTAATAACAAACATACCATGTTAAAATTAATACTTTCTCAGCTTTGCATTTAAGCATTATACATTCGATACAAAAATAATTAAACTAACCTTTACACTGATTATTGTCATCTTTTTCATATCCCCTTAGACATTTATTAGAAGTATAACTCATTGTATTATTGAAAAAAGGTAATGAAGAAGATTTATTGCAATTAGGCCCAATACATGAACGTTTCCTTTCACATCTAAAAGATCCTAATGTATTTCTACATATATATTCAGGTCCTAAAAGACCACATGAATCAGTCTTTAGCAAACATTCATCATCATCTGTGTAAAAAATAATTGAACCGATTAATGTAAATGTAAAAGATACTAAAACAGAATAAAATCACAAGAAATTAATTTTTCTTTGGATGTTTATTTTATGGACAATTTCTTTTTACCAAATTAATTTATAACTATAAATTATTTTTAAAATTAAACAAGGAAGTAATAAACATATATTGCTTAAATTTTAACAGTAAATTAAGCTTTAATGAGATTAATTATTAAAAAAATCAAATTATTTTCAACTAGAAGTGTTTTCTATAAAATAAAAAAAAAACAATTTTATGTAATTTCATTACTAGGTAAATTATATATCTTATATTTCAAAGTTTCCTAAAAGCAACAAAGCATTTAAAACTAAAATATTTGAAATATTCAATATCATGATTTAAATTGAAATATCTCCTTAAAAATTATAATAAAATTAATTTTATTTTTTTTGAATTTTCAATGCAAATTATTTTATTTTATTAATTTAAAAATAAAAAAAAATATTTGAAGTAAAATAAATAACTTTATCAGGATTATTATTTAAAATATAACAATGCATATCTCAAAAATTGACAAAATTAAATTTTTATCAATAATAATAAAGTGTTTCTGGATATTTTTATTATATTTATTTTGTAAGACTCATAGTTTTATTGTATGTTATAACAGTAAGTTCACCTTTTGTATTAAAACATTAATAATTAAAGTATGTTTTTTTATCATTCAGAAAACCTGCAAAATCTGAGATATGTACTGTTGCAGTTTAAATAATGATATACATCTTAGGTGATTTTTATTTTCCATAAAAACCTGAATTTTATAATACCAATAACAATACAAAAAAATAATTATTTTTTTTTATAACTAGGAATGATTTAAGTTGAAATATATATAATCAAATTTTAATATAGAAAATTAAGAATATTTGTTATAGCTTTGTATGCCAAAAGTAAACTATTATAGGTTTTCCATCAAAATTAAATTGATCTACTTATAACTTAACATGTAAAAAAAAAAGTTCACTATATTAATCACTACTTCTTGCAAAATGTAAAAACTTTATTTTCTATGCTCCTTTCAATAATTATGATACTTTGTACATTATATTTAATAAAAAAAATCCCCTCTAACAAAATGTATATATTTAGCTTACTAACATTACAATTAAGTAGTATATCCCAGTGGTATTCCTTGATAAACAGATTTTTATCTTTCGAATTCATGTTTAAATGATTACTAGTAAATAATCAAGAATAACTAATTAGCTTGAATTCACTTGTGAACAGATATTAAGGTAAAAATAATAGTATAAGATAATAAGAAGCTAAAATGTATAAATAAAATATAGAGAGTGATTCTTTTACCATAATCCACTTAATTACTATGGTTCAATTTGGTGTGTATATGATTCACTATGAATAGGAGGTGCCAATGAAGTTTACTAGAGGGATACTATTAGATAAGCCAAAGTGAAAATGTAACCTATTTTAGGTTAATTTATCATGTATATTTTAATATATAATATATATTAACTTATAATGTTTTATGTTATTGTAATATTAATGATGGTTATTGTAATATTATCTTTGGTTATGTTTTTAGATTATAGTTTCTAAAAGTAGTCTCAATTCTAAGATTTTCAAAAAAATTTCTACCTCATTAAAAAAAAAAAAGATTGACTAAAACTGTTTACCTATGGAGTATAGATCTTACCTACACACATAGCAGAATCTATATCTAATGTGTATCCTGTACCACATCCTGTGAAACGAACACATTGATAAGATCCAACTGTGTTGTCACATCTTTGAGATTCACCACATTCATGTAAATTTAACTGGCATTCATTGATATCTTAAATAAAACAAAGTTAGAAATTCAAGAAATAATTTAACTTTAAAACAGAATTCAGGGTGTAGATAATTTATATAATTATTTTAAATAATTGTCTAATATTTTGGTAAAAATGTTATCCATTACTTAAGTTATTGATTCAAAACAAAAAAAATACATGAATTTACTTTTTGTACTAATAACTATAATACAACCTGTACAAGCATTTGTTATTTTATCTTGTTGAAAACCATTTTTACAGTGACATATAAAACTACCAATAGTATTCTCACAAAGTTCATTAGTTTCACATGGTAATTCAGAACATTCATCAACATCTATGTTTAAAAATATACAAGCATCAATTTACTGGTTTTATAGAGAAAATTACAATGCTAAACCTATGCATTTCTGAGAGAAAATATCAAAAGCAAATCCAGGATCACAAGCTCTTGGTTGATTTTGTATTCTTAAATTTTTTTGAGATAATGGAATAGGCAATGGTGTAGAATAGGGAACACACTTGTAGCCATTTGGAATACTCACACATTTTTCTTTCCTTGAACAGTTGTGAATTCCACTACTACAAGGATCTGTTTCTAAAATTAAGTTTTAAAATAATTTTAATAGTAAAATAAAGTGTCAAATTTACTTAATTCTATTTAACTTATTATTACATCTATACAAAATATGTGACATTCAATTAAAACAATTTTATACAAAATAGTAATTCATTTTTATCCAGAGGATTTAACTCAAATATATAAATTATAGACAATTTTTTTTTTGTAAGCTTTAAGCATAGTATACAAAACAAAATATATGCAATGTTAAATTAATGAAATTCTAATAAAAATTACATTCAGATTCATAGGAAAATTATAAAATAAAATTTACTGTAATTTTAATATGTAATGTTAACAAACTTAAAATTTTTTTTTCGAGTTCTAACAAAAACAAAAAAAGCTTAAGTTATAATGTTGTAACTAATAATATCACTTAATTCAATATTTATATGAAAACAATTTTCCACAACATTTAAAAAGTGAATAAATTTTTTTAGTTCTAACCTTTTTTTATTGACATTTTTAGAGATACTAAAGGACTTGGTTTCATTTTATCACTTGCAGCATTACAACAAGATAAATACAATTCATTCCATTGGCTTCCAATAAATAAGTTCATAAGTTTACAAGTATTCTGAATTACCTTAGCTAACATTCCTATTTTACATAATTCACAGCACATCTGCCGAAACATAAAATAATAAGAATTACTGTAAATAACTGAGGTATAGACATGAGAACAGTACAATGTCTAAATAAAATGTAATATAGAATATGAATAACATTGAAAACAAAAAAGGCTGCCATAAGTCATAGTTTAAATAAATATTTTTTCTTTTTTCTATAAAATTTAGTTTTTGTGACTCTGTACCATTATTACTACCAACTCCTCATTAGTAGTAGTTTAATAATCTCATTGATTTTCCTATCATCTTATTGTGAATACAAAAAAATATCCAATTCCATGAGCTAAATCCAGAATAACTTCATAGATATAGCCAATAAAATAAGTAATGCAAGAAATGTAAAATATTCAAATTTACCATAAAATCAACTTGACTCTTTCCTAACTCAGTTTTTTCATCACAAGACCCATCAGAAAGTGCAGCTATTTTACCCTCTAAACATCTCATTTCCCTGTAAGTTGAAAGCAAACAATTTGTAATTGGTTTTATAATTAATTATTCTATTTTAGTTTTATATAGTAATCATTTTCATTTTTACAACACACCATGGCAATCAATTATGTTAATAGAAATGTTTATATTTAGATTGATCATTACAATAACAAAAAACCTATGGAACTCTATAACTAATAATTGATGAATAAGAATACCTTAATGAATTCATACAACATGCACCAACTGTTGTTAAACATATAGAACTATGTTCAGAAGGTACTCCAAATAGTGGAAATTGTAATGATATATTACAAAATTTGTTTTCAGCACTCCAAATTTTACCTTTTTGACAGCAAATATTCAATGTATTTTCTATAGTTCCTATGCAAACAAAATATTTTTTATGTTATCCATTATGTTAAAAATCCTTCGAAATACCTTCAGTAATTTCAGTAAAGCAAATTCTCAAAAATAAGAATTTTATGACAATTAATAATATAATTAATTTCATGATAAAAATTATAACACAATGTTACTAATACTAAAAAATTCGAACAAATCTTAAATACAAAAAAAAATTATTGTATAAAATATAAGTTTTTATGGGCAAGTTGATAGCCCATAATTTTTCAAACGCAATTTCAACTTTATCGATTGTCGTCGTTAGAATGACAACGGAAAAGATAATAAAAATATAATATTATTAATAAAATAAAAGTGATATGTTTGGCATGTACTCAAATAATCAAGAAATTTCAATAACACAAGCATATAATAGAAATGATAAATAATGTCGTTATTGACCCACAATTCGGATGTATGCTCTAAATTGATAAAAATACTAAGTTGCAAGGTCAAAAAATTATTTATTCATAAATTATATAATGCATGAATGAATCAAATACTAACGAATTAGACGAAATTAATGAATCTTACTCAATACACTTTAAAAAACTTATTTATTACACCTTTATTGGTAATACAAATTAATTAAGATTTTAAGTAAGTGCTAGATAAAAAAATTTTAACAATGGTTAGAACAAAAATAGTTTGAGGGTATTACGTATTTTTTCTTAAAAAAATTCACCGATAAAAATCGCGGAAATTTTTTTATATTTTTAAGTTATGTTTCCAACTGAATATAATTTTATCTTTTGATGTATTGATCAACAATATTAGCTTAATAAATATTGAGTATTCATAGGCTTAAAAAAATACAATTTTATGGGGTGCTAATTATATATATCACATCCTAAAAAATAATTTTATACACAAATACACATAATTTTTTAATTTCGGGGGGGGGGGGTGCTAAGCAGAGACGTAGTGTTTATTCTTTGATGAGAGGAAGAATTAAACACAAGAACAATTTTCATTTTTCACCATACGAAAAAAAATTGTATCTTCGCCATAAAATCATTTTTGTCATAAGGGAATGTGGTATTACCCTTAATTATACCAGTAAAGGCTCTTCTGGTTGCAACTATGAAGGTGAAATAAATTTTTGTACTCTCTTTAAATCAGTGGTTCTCAACGGGGGCGATATCGCCCCCCAGTGGGCGGTGAAGTGTCACTGGAGGGCATTGAATTAGTTTTGTGCGGTAGGGGGCCGGTGAACTATTGAAATCCAGTTTCAAGGGTAGTGATCGGCTCACGGAATTTTGGCTTCAAAGTAACATAACTCAACATTATCCTGGACTGTGGAGTCTCGTTAAAAAATTTTTAATAGCTTTTTCTTCCTCATATCTCGTCGAGCGAGAGTTCAGCACTGTTCAGTAACAGATTTAATTACAAAGAAGAGATCGACTCGATATCGTGAAAAAATGATCCTTACGACTTATGGTAACGAGTATCGAACCTAATGTCGAAAACTGGCTAAAAACCACCAAGTTCAATCATCTCACTGAAATCATGTCTACAAAAACAATAAAAGCAATATTTTTTATTTGATTTTAAAATCTTTTTTAAAAGTAATATTTTTTCTAAATAAACTAAAAAATGTATAAAAAATTTTATTATTATAAAATAAAATTGATAAATGATTAAGTTTATTTCAAATGTTTAATTTAATTACTTTATTAATACTATAATTAAAAAAATATGAAAAATAAATCATAAATGAAAACAATAGCTATGAGATAATTATTCAAATTTTCCAAATCATTAACTTCCTTCCTATCTCTCAGCCCATATCATTAATTATAGAATTTTCAAATAGGGGGACATTAAAGAATTAATTCCTACTCAAGGGGCGGTAACATAAAAAAGGTTGAGAAACACTGCTTTAAATGGTTAAATTCGAATATGTAGTAGTCTATTTAAAAGTTATGTATACTTAAACTTAAATTTACGCTAAAAAGTTAAATAACATTTCTGTTTAGAAAATTTAAGCAAATACAATGCTAATTAAAATGAAAAAATTATAAAGATTGCAGTATATTTTTTCTCTTTCTCAACCAATTCATTCATATTCCAATTTTAACATAGTGCGTAGTACACGCATACACACACATATATATATATATATAATTAAAATGTAATTACACGTAAAATCAACAGCAAACTATTAGTTGAATTAATCGATTCTGACGTAAAAAGCAACATAAATATTTAAAATTAAAAAATATACAATTTTTAGATGATCTCATATAAATTTGAGATGTTTAGATTACATTCAACATCAAATAATTTTTATATAATTGTTTTAAGTTTTCTTTAATAACATCATGTAAAAATACATTTAACAGGGTTTTCGACATAAATTTATACTTTCATTGAAATAGATATTTATTTGCAGGTAAATTATTTATTTTCAGTCCGACTCTAATACACTAATAAAATGTATGACTTTCATTTTTAAGCTATTTTTATTTATTTATTATTATTTAAAATTTAATTCGTGACTGATTCACAATAAATAAAAATTACTTTATTAAAAAAATTTTTGTATTGTACATAATAAAACGTCAAGTTCCTAAAGTGAATACTAGGAAGATATTGCGCACACTGATAAGGATTTTTATAAGAATATTATAAATGGGTAAGAACACATACAAAATAGAAAACAGGCACACTATGCTGAGGATGCATACAGAGAGTGTTAATTTACTAATTAAAGCAGCTTTGTTGTCTAAAGATGTCATAGCATTAATATATCCTGTTAACCAGTACTGGGAAATCCTAAAAATCATATCAAGTGGTATTGCTAATAAAACGAACATAGAATATACAGCAACAATGACACAACACGATTCCTCTAGAATTAGTGAGACTACACTAAAAAAATTCTTGTCGCCACCATCTATTGAATTCTGATCGTTGCTAGACCGGATTTTATCCATATATTTTTGTATCATCCGTCGAACACAAATCATTATGAACAAAGTTCTTCACCTTATTCAATCCGGAATCAAGCTACACTTAACGAAAATAAATTGTGGTTCATTTTAAAGTAGTTTCGATATGTGTTGTTATGCCCACGATTAATTTCGAAACAAACGGCCAATAAACATCTGTTTAAAAAAAATACAGAAAAGGATTGAGACTTTTTTTTTAATTTTGAAAATAAAAGAAACATGACACATTTTTAAAAAAAGTAATTCTTAAGATCCTTTTTCTAAAATCTAGACAAACTTTAGTTGATATTAATTAATCCTCTTCTACAGTTGTGTAGTGAAGGATATACACGGGCTACGGAGTATATGCCCGTTTAGCAGGTTTTTGTAAGTTTTTTTTAATTGTCATAGTAATATTGTGGTCACGGTTATCTTTAATATTAGATCTTCAGAATATCAGATATTAGAAGCAATAACCACTTTGTCAAATATTGGATTAAATGAAGCAATAAATTAATAATAAAATTTGTAATCTTTTCAAAGTGTCCTTTGAGGTCTATGACATTGAATGTATTGAAATAACATCATGCTATTAGTCTTTATACTATAAACTATTCTAATGTCTGTCAAATAAAGTAAAGGTATAAATATGAAGGGTTGAGCCGATGATAAATTGTTGTAATGTTTTAAATATATTACATACATAAACTAAAAAATATGAAAGGTGAATAAACACCATAACCTTCTATGAAAAACAATATGAATAAAAGGAAATTCAGAAAAAAATCAATAAACCAACGAATCAAAATGTACTTATTAAATTCAAGACATTATTATCATCAAGATGAAATAACAGGTCTCAATGCAAAACAGATTATAATTTTTATGTCAATAATAGACGGTTTTTATCCCTCAATCAGTGTTAAAACCCGGTATATTTCAATGGTGGAGGAACCCCTGACAATCTCATAATGGCATTGGTATTACAGCTATTTTCGAAAATTGACAAAATGTTTCGTTTAATATCGAGTTAAAAACCGCAAGTGCAATTAGAAATTTTTTATGTGGGGTTTAGATAGCTTTTTGAACGTAGAATAGTGCAGTGATTCAATCGTTCACTACTTCCATTACTAAGATTTTTTATGTCCATAGGGCCTGAACCCGTGGACGCCTCTCCTGGTTGCGCCACTGATATTAAGTATTTTAAATTAACTTTGAGGGATCGTTCTAGTCTAGTGGGTAGAAACATGTGTTGAGCCATCAAAACAACGATTTCTGATTCCACCTAAATTATATGTTTGTTTATATAAGTGCTCACAAATTGAAATTTTCATCATGTCATAATTATATTTATAAATTGAAAGTACAATAGTTTGTAATGATATCTAAAATAAAGTATTGCATATAAGTATTAAACTTAATAGTTGTGTTAAGTTATTTATTTGTGATGATTTTGTATTTTTTAATCCAATTACTTTGTTGATTAATTGATTGATAATTTATTTATTTAAATGTACCCAATGAACTCAATAATGTCTTAAAATGTTTAAAACCCTTTAACAGATTTAATTGAAGTTAACGAATTAATTAAAAGATAAAACAAATAGAGGTTAATAAATAAATAAAACAAAGCATTAATTGACGTTTTTTGAAAATGTTTCATAAAAATATATCCATATATATAAATATATATTCAAATATAAGCCATATATCTATGGGTTATATCTAAAAGCTTATAGGCCACAAAAGTAAGTTTTTGAGATTTTATACTATATGTATACAGAAAGATTGTCTTGTGCCAACAAATAAATTGTTAGCTAATTTTATAGAAAAGATTTTTTTTGAACAAAAATAAGACACTATAACGAAAGTTGAGATAAATAAGTTTTCAAAATAAGTTTTTAAATTCTCTAATTTCTTGAAAGGCCTGCTGACATGCCGTCTATAATGCTTAATGGCCTGATTAAGATGGCAAAATCATGTTTTTAATTTAGTAATTACAATTGTAGTTCATCGTTTGACTTTAGTTTAAAATTATATTATTGTGTATCCCGCGAACAAAACCACTTAAAATACTAATAATATAATCTTCTATTCACGGACGACATCTAGTGATAATCTAGTGTGTCGATTGTTACCATCGATTATGTTACTACAAAACAATTATAAAAATTTTTTTGTTAGAATTAATTGCATCAATTATATAAAATGTATACATGTATTAAAATTTTAAAATTGTTTGTCAGTATATTACGTAAATAAATAGTAATAACTTTGTAATAAATATATGTGAATAATAATATAACAATATGTTGTGGACATTTTGTACATATTTCTTTAAGTATAATGTTTGAAAAAGTTTTATTGGGTTACAATAAAATTTTGTGTTTAATAATATATTCGTGTTATGATAATTTTATATATTATTCGATTTTATTATTTTAAAGAGACTAGTATATAGCGTATTATTTCAACGTTTCTATCGATACTAAGTTGTTATCATAAATTCGATTTTATAAATTAAGAACTATTGGTCGACACCCTCTAGTAGGTGGCATTTTCATATTATGATTAAACCATTTCATTTCTAGGAATTATAAATTGTCTTTGTAACCAGTAATCTGTAAAATGAATATAACACCAATAGTTCAAAAGAATTATCAGTTTTGCTGAAAAATGTATTCTTAGTAGTACAATTTTTAATTGTAATTCGTTATTTTCTAATTTAACTTTAAATTAATGATACTTAGCATACATATGGTATAAAACTAAAAATTAACATATTTTTGGATTTTATTCTATAAATTACAGTAAAATTAACATAGTTTTAATTATTAATTTAAAGATTAAAAATATTGAAGCGATTATTATCAAAACTGAGAAGTATAGTGAGACAAGAGGTCTGTATTTATATTTTTTTCTATTACTTACTTTTCTTTTCAAATAAGCTTAAAATATATTGCATAATTAATACTAATTATTTATATTTATATTTTTTAGTTGTTTGATATTTGTTCCTAAATTTTATGGATCTCTTTAATTTTTAACTTAACAATATGGCTCGAGAACCTGTTATAGTTCATGTCTATGATATGGTATGTGTATGTTATAATCTTATAGTTTAATTATCCAAATGGTTAATCATTTATTATCATCACAAATGTAACAATTCAACCCAACTTATTAATTTTCTAGATTCCATTTATTAAAACTTCATGGTTATAATAATTATATTTATTTTCAGTATTGGATAAATGAGTATACTACACATATGGGATTAGGTGTATATCATTCAGGTGTTGAAGTATATGGACTAGGTATGAAATATTTTTTACTAATTCTGTCCAACATAAATTTTAATGAGGGATTTTATTTTATTTTAGAATATGGATATGGTGGACATGATGGACCAGATTCAGGGATTTTTGATATGATTCCAAAAGACATGAATGAATTAGGATTCCATTACAGATATAGGTGAGAAATGAATATTACTACAATACCATCAAATAAATGTAATTGATTATGGTTATTTTTAAAAATATTGATATAAAATAATTATTCATTAATTGCCAAAAGAAAGAATTAATGTTTGCCGTAAATATTATTTGATGGGTTAGTATTTTGACCAATAGTAGAAACTGTAGTTAATAGCTGATTAAATAGTTCAACACATGAAATAATAAAAATAAAACAGAATTATTTTAAATTTAAAAGCTGTATCCAATTATTATTGTATTATTTGATAGGTATATCAAATTTTTTTTTTTGTTAACTAAACATTAAAAATCCTGCATATTACTGTAATAAAATTTACTCTTAAAAGAAGCATAACATAGGTAAAATATATATATATATATATATATACATAATGCATCTATAACTTAATTTGTGTGGTTTTTTTCAAAATTTCTATGTTAATTTAAGAAAAAAATGTACAATAATATTATTCAAAGTATTACCCATCTGAAGCTATAAATTTCCCATTTGTCTGAAAATTGAACTGTGCTAGCTGGCGTCCAAGAATGCATCAAGCCAATTTTTGATATCTTCAACTTTTGTGAAGCGTTTTCCAGAAAAGGCATTCTGCATCGATCGGAACAAATGGTAGTTAGAATGGGAATATAAGGTGGGTGAGGCAAAACTTCCCAGTCGCTGTTTTCCTATTAGTTTTTAATCGGTCTTGCATCATGAGGCTAATATTTTTTTTTATAATGGTAGAAAATGGAAAATAATTTGAATTGGTAGTAATTTTATACTTCTTATGAATGATCAGGAAAATATTAGTCCTTTGTAATAAATACCTTTTTGATATTTCTAAATTATTGTTTGTAGAGAGTCTATACATGTCGGTACAACAGATTTCACTGCTGCAGATGTAAAGAGAATATTAGCTGAAATGGGAAAAGATTTTCGTGGAGATCGTTACCATTTAATGAATAAGAACTGTAATCACTTTTCTGGACAACTAACTAAAGTATGTATTTTTAAGATTGAATTGTTTTGTCATTGTATTAATTAATAATTTTCTAATTATAAAAACTTAATATATTTAAGGGATGATATAAATAATTTTAATAAAATTTAAAAAAATTATTAAAATATATTTAAAAATATGTCTAAATATATATTGTTTATTTATACTTATATTTTTCATTTATATTAATAATTCTCAAATCATTTTGCTTTATTATAATAAATATAATATTATTCAATGAATTGTAGTAAATTTTGCAAAATATATTTATTATAATTATTAATAATTTTGTTTTATTAATATATTTAACTTTAATTTTTGTGAACAGTTTTTTAAAGAATATAAATTAAATATTTTATAAAAAAAAACTTCATCTTAAATGAGATTTTTTTAAACCATCTATAACTAAGTGATTTTAGTACCACATAAGTTTTTTTTTAAGAAATAAAAAAAAGTATTACGATTCTTCTTAAAGAGTCTTCTGCAACTCAATCATGAGGGACTCGTTTTTACTATTTAGTCATTTTGATAGTATGGTATATAGATTATGTATAAAAATTTGTTTATGATTTTATGGCACTAAAATCATGATGGGAACTTTATGTACTTTGCTAGATAACTTAGTGAATAATTAAATTTTATCATTTATTGTATTAATTTTTCATTGAAATCTTCATTTAACAATTAAATGTGGTATATATAGAAATTTTTCTTAAAATATAATTCTTTTTAGTCCGGTTCATTTTAGTCACTAAGTGTTTATTTTCTGAATTTAAATAATAATACTAAATTGTAGACCAAAAATAAATGGATAATTTAATTATTTATTATTTATTTTTTTAGATTTTATGTGGTCAGGATATTCCTAGTTGGATTAATAGACTAGCATATGTTAGTACTTGTATTCCCTTTTTTCAAAGATGTTTGCCTAAAGAATGGTTGACTCCCATTTCTTTACAAAAAAGTTTGTCTAGAAGAAAATCTGATGCTTCAACAGAACAATTGAACCCTTAAAGAATACACATACACTATAAAACAAAAAATACAAATAAATATTGTATGTGCCATTTGTTATATTACGCCCTTTAGTTCAACTATGATGTATAAACTTTTTTTTTTAATCTGCTGTACTATATGTCTAAAAATAAGATCGGTTATTTATTATATACACTAAAATATAAAATAAATATTGTATGGTTTTTATTTAAATTTAGTGGATTTTAAATTTTTTATTGAAACATTTTTATTATTATTGTTTATATATACATGTAATACATAACTTACATTATGTTATATCATGATTAATTAACAACTTGAACTAAAATTTAAAAAGATCAGATTATTTGGCAACTAAGATAAAATAAAGGATATTATAAATTTCAGCTTCGACGCGAAGTTGAGAAGGTATTCATTTTACTATAATGTGCTTTTTTTTTTGTGTCTGTTACCACTTTTTCTCAGCTCTCACCGATTCAATTTTTTTCAATGATACGTTAAAGATTACAAATCGTATTAAGTTAAAGACATTATCCTTAAAAATTAAAATTTCCCTTGTTCCCCGTAAATGGGGGAAATCTCCAAACAAATTACAAATTTGAAAATTGCTAATTTTTGACATTTTTTCAATTTTTTTTACTTAAAACTGCCATTACTTTTTTAAAAATTATCAAATCAGTATAATTTTTTTTTTATAGATACATGAGATATTCACCTATTATTTTGTATATTTTTTTATAAACCTTTACTTGCTCACAAGTGGGTTCAAAATGATAACTTTTTCACAAAAAAATAACTTGAAAGTGTTCCGGAAATACTGACACTTATATATATCTCAAATTAAAGCTAATATAATATTCTTTATTATGAAAAAAAAAAATTTTAGGACTTTATTTTGTCTTCACTGTGAAAATAGTTACTGAATGCTATTTTTGTGTGAAAATTCTTGATTTTATATTTTACATTTTTAACTTATACTGCTATAACTTATTGAAAAGTGTATGGATCAATACAATTTTTTTATGAGAAATAATATTTATATCCCTCATTTATTGGACATACTTTATTTTTAAATAACACCATTTCCTTTTATATATTTATTCATATATTATACTTATAAATCATAAAACTTGTAATCAGGATATATATAAGTAAATAGAAGATCATGTAGCTTTTAGAATAATCCACCAATATTTTAAAATTAAACTATCTACAGATTTGCATCGAAGCGTTTTTTATGATAGTGATTTTAATCATCGTCAGATATCATTATACTTTACCCAACTATGGCACGTTCCCACTGTGCTGGGTTTTTTTATTTTTATTTATCGCAAACTCTCAAATTAATTTTCTTATTAATATTTGAAAATATTATTTACCGTTTTGAAATGCATTGAAAGCATACTTTTTATTGTTCGTCTAATAAAAAAAAAAAATTATTTTCCAATATTTCAAAATAGTCAATATTTAGCTCTTAAAAAAATTTTGATGAAAATTATTTTTATCTTTATCTTAATGTTAAAACATTATGACACTTTATGTGTATGATTTTGGTTTTTTCATTTAACATTATAAACTGATCGCAATAGAAACTTTTTCTAGTATTAATACCTAGTAGGATCGCAGATCTTTTAAATTATTTTTATAGATACCAAAAATATCAATAATTTGCATGGTGGAAGTTTAGTCAATTTCGCAATAATAATTTGCAAAATATATACTTATCTTGAAATCTAAAATAGGAATTAAGTTATTAAAATTATTGTAATAACAAGACAAAGTAGATCTATTTTGTTATGGTAAAAGTATTCCCTATGGTCATCTCATATTGTTTGTCGTTATTTCAATAATAATCCAGATTTTAGGTAATTAACAAACTAATCAGTTTTGGATCTCCTGTTGCACATTGCATAAACTAGATAAGACTAACATAGACCACATGAATTTATAATCTGGGTTTAGAATTAAAAAATTATTAGCAATAATCATATAGCTCAGGTAAAGATAATATTGTTTCTATAACTATGATATAACCATACTTAGTATGAAATTAGCTGACCATTGAAATAGATAATAGATACAATATGGTATCATTGAATTTTTGTTTTGTTTTGTGGTTAGTTCTTTAGGATAGGTTGTAGACATCACCTATTGATGATACCGATGATAAAACCAGAGATTTTCTAATTGATTTTATTATCATGGTTGCCGGCACGTGCGTTTGTCGTATTGTGTCACTTGTGTTCCGCCGTCATTCGATTTACATTGAATATGCCAGCTGCTACCGAAGAGAGAGATAAATTTGATTCAGAAACTCCACTCGAGACAAATGGACTAGAATATAGTATAAGAGATGTCTGGGCTCATAATTTAGAGGAGGAATTTGCATCAATACGAAAAATTTTACCAAGATATTGTTATGTGGCAATGGATACTGAATTTCCCGGTGTTGTGGCACGGCCAATTGGAGAATTTAAGACTACTGCCGATTACTTGTATCAACTATTACGATGTAATGTCGATCTCCTAAGAATTATTCAGCTTGGGTTATCGTTTTTCGACGAAGAAGGCAAAACCCCTACTGACCAATGCACAACGTGGCAGTTCAATTTTAAATTTAACCTTTCTGAAGACATGTATGCTCAAGACAGTATAGAACTGTTAACCAATTCCAGGTAAATTTCTTTGAATTATAGGTTTTTTATTAAGAATTTTTTGTGTTGCAATTGAAAAGTATCTTGTGTGCTGATAAAAATTATGACAATTATTTTTAAATAACACTACATTTGAAGAAATTAAGTTGAAAATAAATTGAACACAATGAGTATTATTTTTATTAATAGACATTTCTTAATTAGTAATTATATTTTTTAGATTTCTAATATCCTATATATTTGATTTTTTGTTTTAAGAGTTTCATAAAAGTTATTCCTATTTAAACATTGAGTTGGATATTTTTTATTTATTTTATCCATTTTAAAATATTATTTACATAGAGCAGATATGTTCTTTTTTTACATTTTTACAAAAAATTCTGTGTAGTTTTTTAAAAATGAGTGTCTTACCAAATTTGGATCATCTTGTTTTTCCATTAAAATAACAATATATTTTTTATAGTAAAGTGTGTGTTTATTTTTAAAACATTAATTCATTAGATTGAAAATTTGTTTTAAGAAGTATTAAAAATTTCTTAAATTTATTGTTCTCAAGTCTAAAAATTATTAAGTATCATGACATTTTTTTTTTTAAGTAAATCTTTAGAGATCATATTTTAAAAAGTTTATATTTTTTTAAATGATTCATATGTCACAATGGTGTTATACTTTTTAAACAATTTATTGTTTTGTGATATTCTACAAATCGTAAATGATATTCTATATTGTAGATTTAAATATTTTGTTTATTTTATAAATGTTATTGTCTAATATAATTTAAATAATTATTTTTTGGATTTTAGAATACAATTCAAAAAACATGAAGAGTATGGGATAGAACCCATAGTTTTTGCTGAATGTATCATAACATCTGGCTTAGTATTAATGGATAATATTAAATGGATGACATTTCACAGTAGTTTTGACTTTGGCTATTTAGTCAAAGTTTTAACTGATGAAAAACTACCTCAAGAAGAATCCGAATTTTTTGATTTGTTTTCCCTTTATTTTCCTTGTGTTTATGATATAAAATACTTGATGAAAAGTTGTAAAAACTTGAAAGGTGGACTACAAGAAGTAGCTGATCAGTTGGAGTTAAAACGAATCGGTCCACAACACCAGGCTGGAAGTGATTCTTTGCTTACTGGTATGGCTTTTTTTAAAATAAGAGATATGTATTTTGAAGGGATGATTGATAGTAAAAAATACTGTGGCCATTTATATGGTTTAGGTATTACTACTCTTAACAATGGTCAAATTCGATATGAAGGACCACTTTGATAAACAAAATACAAAGTTTATATCTCAAATCTATTTATCCCTTTTAATTTATTTATTTTTTATTAAATTTTATTCACCAACTGTGGATAAAATTAAATAATTGTAGAGTTAATAAATTTAGATGTATATGAAGAACAAAATTAAAAGAAAAAAATGTTTATGCTTACTTTTTGTGTACTTTTTTCCTTTTCTGTTTTCCAACTAATCATTAAAAATATCAATTATTTTGTACAGCATATTTAGTTATAATTGGCCTTTTGATTTCTTGGATATCAGTTTATTAACAAATTTTTTGTTAAGACTATCAATCATAAGGACATATAAGTTAGCCTACTTAATTACTTAATTAAAGTGCCTTAATGAACTGAGTTTCCTCTGTCTTTAACTTAATTCAATTCAATTGTACTTATATAATAAAATGTATTAAATATATTTAATATATGTGATATTATTATTAGTTAAATTATCTTGTACTTATCAACATTTTATTAAGCTTTTAGAAATTGTTTATTTAAACTCAATAAATAAAATATACATATATATATCTTTATTAACTATTAATTATTTGATATTGATATTTTATTAATCCTTACTTTTTTAAATTATATATACTGTAATTTTAGGATCTTTTTATGTTGATTTAATGTCAACAATACAATTTAAAAATAAATTTTAATATGCTGTTAAGCAATATCTCCTAATTTGTTAGAAAATGCTTGATAGCTTATCAGGTTGAGTTTATTGGGCAGATAGTAAAAATGAACTTTTTAAATAATTAAATTTAAATATAAAATTATTAAAAATATAAATAAATTTTACTGCTTAGTGCTTTATTAGAATTACTTTGACTAGTAAAAGTGCAGTGAAGATTGGAATTATTTTTCAATAATTCAATCATCATAGAACTTCTAAGTTGACACAAATGATAATATGTGACATATACAAACTGAATATCCACAATTGTTAAATAAATCTTTTTTAGGCTCGGTGTGTAGTTAATAAGTTATTGGTTTTACTTGTACGTATTTTTTTGTTTGTTGTAACCAATCTTGATATTTTTTAGCATCAATGCCAAGCTGAGAAGGTATTAATTTTACCATAATATGCTAATTATTAGTATTTTTTGTTTGTCTGTCACTATTTTTTTTTTAACTCGCTGGCCCTATTTTTTTCAACAATATGTTAAAAATTACAAATCGTATTTAGTTAAAGACGTTCCTTTAAAAATTAAAAAAATTTCCCTAATTTCTCATAAATGGGAGAAATTCTCAAAAAATGCGTTTTTTAATATTTATAAATGTAGTCATATTTTTAATTTTTTTTACTTCAGTTTTAAGTGTTGGATTAAGACCTATATGGGCCCCAGGTTTGTACCTTGAGATTATTCTATAGATAATATCACAACCATAAAAAAAAGTGATGAGCAAAAAAAGAAAAAATGATCCAGAAAAACTCTGTCACTAATCATGACTAGAAAAGTAAAATTCGAGATTAGAATTATTCTCATAAGATTAGTAAATTTATGAATGTGTGAATTATTATATTTCATAATATATAATAATAATAATTGATCACTTCTGGTTAACCCATCAACGCCTGGCGTCCCCATATGGTGACATTCGTATTGCTATTTTTATCGTTCTTAGAATAATAATTTAATAGGTAAAAGCCGAGTGTACCCATATGGTGACACTCAATATCTCAGAAATCGTATTTTCAAAAAATTTAAAAATAATTTTTTTTTATTTTTGTGTTGTATATTAATCTGTTTTTAGTAAAAAAAATAGAAAGTTTGAAAAAAAATAATTCTCGGCGTTGATGGGTTAATACTATTTAAAATTTAAATTATTTATTTAGGTTTACGCCCATGGATCAAGAGTACAAATTCATAACATATTTTATACATAATACAATAATTATTACTAACTATTAAAAACATTGTTTAATTTAAAATTAGAAATCAAAGGTACACAGACTTTACATATTAAAAGTACGATTCATTATGTTATTTACAACAGAATTTTTAGGTTATGGCTCTAAATAAAACAATAATTGACTTCGAAAGTTAACATTAGGTACTTTGAAATTAATTATTTGTAACAATTCAGGGAAGTCGATGTTACAATGTTACTGATTAATTTAAGTATAAAAAGCAAATCATATTTTCTTTTAGCTTGTAAAAAGATCATGTTATAATTTTTTCAATATTAATAAGAGAGTATTCATGAACATTTTGTAACTTTTTTAACTTAATTTTTGAAATTTTTCCGGAAATACTGACACTATACATATTTTAAATTAAAGCTTATGTAATGTACTTTAATATGAAAAAGAAAAAATTTTGAACTTAACGTTTTCTTCATGGTTAAAATGGCTACTGTATTAAAAAATATGCTATTTTTCTGTTAAAATTCTTAGTTTTGTATTTTATTTTATTTTAAAATACCTTACAAGGGTAGTACACTGATTTTTTTAAATATTATATAAATATAATTGACATAGAATATAAATTTAAACATATTTTAATTTTTTTTTGCTTCTTTTAAGTTGAAATTTAAAATTTGAACTAGCTTAAATTGCCTTTCATATTATCCATCTAACGCCATGTACAGTTGCCGGTTGGTAACACTTGTGTCTTTCACGCGTGAAGTACAAAGTATGATCCCTAAATGGGATTGAATTTTTTTCTTAATTCTTTATGAGTTTGAAAAAAATGTTCAACTCATTTGACTATAATCTCATTTAGATTCAATAACTTAAGTAAATATAATGATTATAAAGTATTACATCAAGCCTTTTAATTTTTATACATGTTTGTCATAGAAGTAACAAAATAAACTACTAAATCATTTTTTATTATTTCTTCTAAAAAATTATTAACAGGGCTCGGAAGTTTTAGTAAATGCATAAACAGCAGATGCTGTTAGTATTAAAGACGCCCAAGATGTCATCATAAAAACAGGATAAGAAAATAACTTGACGTATATTAAGTCAAACTTTGCTACCTTAACCTTAGCTGTTGAAAAATTACAACAGCAACATGTACCATTATCGGATTCAATCAAAATTGTTAAGAATATTTTTAATAATAATAATATCCAAAAATCGTTGGAAAATCTAAGTGATCCAAAAGGAAACGTCATTCAAAATAAGTTCAATAAGACATTGAAAAAGAATTTTGGTCTAGCGATATTAATAAAAATACTGGTGAAGAAACATCAGGAAATTTATCTGGTCTTCCTGAAGATTTAAGTTGTAACGACTTAGAATTTTTTTAATACGGCACCCGTGAGGTCTGTTGATGTTGAGCGATCATTTTCAACATATAAAACTCTATTGTCAAATAACCGTAGATCATTCAAATATGAAAATATAAGAAAACATATTATTATTCAGTGTGTAATTCTTTAGTTAAATAATATAAATTCATTTAAAATGAATACATTAAAACATTAATAATATATATACTATAAAATAAAAATAAATATCCAACTATAACATTTAAGCTGTTTTAAATAGTTATGTTTGAAAAAAATTATTATTAAAAAAAGTTTGTATTGAAATTGTAATTTGCATATATTTATGTTTTTAGTCCTATTTATAGTCCTTATTGTGGTGTTTTAAAGTGCTAAAAATCTATTTTATTAGTGCTATAATATCCGAGCCCTGATTATTAAATATTAATTTCATACTATACATAAATATGCTGTAATAAATAATTATTCATAAATTATACTTTTAAACCAATTTCTTAAAATTAATCACTATCTACAGTTTTGCATGAAAACGTTTCTTGTGATTTAATCACTCTCAAATATACCATGGACCCCACTGTGCTATCTTTTTTTTCCAACTTATCATTTAGACCCAGCTGATTAATGTTCCATACCACAGAACTCAATACTAAGCTGCTCCGTACCAAAGTGAAATAAAGAGTTTTTAAATAATCTAATTTTTTAAAATCATCGCAATTACGCAATTCCTGTATGCTTAGAAGCAAATTGAAGTAATATGATCATTAAATGTAAGATTTTCCGTATGTATTACACCAAAATCTTTTAAAATTTTAACTAAATTATTTTTTCAACTGCAACTTCAATGTTTTCAATAACATATTTATAAGATACTGGAATTTTGCTATGACAAAAAGATATTTATTAGCAATTACCTGTTAACCCAGATTCAAAATACCAGTTAATAAATTTATTGACTACATTCTGGATTTTTTTAGCAATTATCGGGAGACTTTATTAGATAAAATATATTTAAATCATCAGCATATAACTGAAATTTGCTGTATTTAAAAACTGTACCCAAATCATTCAAAAATAACTAACAAATTACTGGGGATAAATGACCTCCTTACGGCAACCCAGAAGTACAACTATAGAATCGGATAACTGATTGCAAAATTTAAAAATTTGATTTCTGTCCATAAATAGGAGGAAATCCATTAAAAAAATATATCATTTAAACCTATGTTTATAACTTAAAAGTAATAAATTATAGTTAATTGTATCAAAAGCTTTTCTTATATCAATATGAACCTTATCAATCTAGAATCCATTTGCCACATTATTTACTAAGAACGGGCTAAATAAAAGTAAATTAGTTTCTATTGATTTCTTATTCCTAAAACCATGCTGCTCACAAAGGAAGTTATTTTTTATAAATCTAGTAAGATTAAGTTTTAATAATTCCTCAAACAATTTAGGAAGTTAACTTAGTTTAGAAACCGGTCGATAATTTGCAATTTTCGAACGATCCTCAGACTTCCACACAGGTGATATATAACTGACTTTCCATTATATTTCAATTTTAAAAGTGTTAATGTACTATTATTTATTTTGGTAAATTATAAGTTTAACAGTTTTCACTATTTCTTAAATAAATGTCCAAGGACAATTTGTCCTTGGTAAATACTACACTGATAATACTTTACTATACAAATAATAACAATGAATGATGTTTGTATTTTTGAGGTATTTTTATCGAGATACATAGTTATGCGTAATTGAAAATAAATCTTTTATTACTATCTGTGAAGTACTTCATGGAGTACAATAGTACGAGTTAAGTATTAGTTCATATATTAAGGTCATTATAATTGAAGTTTGTTTTTTATGACGTAAATATGTTTACTGTTACCTTCAGTAGTGAAATGATGAAATTAAAAAGAAGGCGGGGTGCATTTGGTGGAAAAAGCGTTATTTTTTTTTGCAATATTAGCTGAATACACGCGAGGGTATATGTTTATGTTTTCATTAAGCGTCTATAGTAATACCACATATAAAATGGACTATTTTAGAAATACTAAGCAGTCAATGTGAATTACTCTTGATAAAAATAACTGATACTATAGTTTGTCGTTATAGTATTTATAAAATTTGTTTTTAAATTTAAACGTGTAGTGTTTAGCATCGGGGTCCATCCGCAATTACAATAACTGATGGACTAGTATCCGTTCGATGGCAACACCTGATGATTGTTTTTTGAAGATTGGCCGTCTCGAAAATAAAAAAATGATTTTAATTACAAAAACGTCTCATAGATAAACCATCATATTAGAAAAATAATCAAATGAGAGTTAATGAAATACGTAATTTGAAAATTCTCTTTAAATAATAAATTTTCTTTTTGTACTTTTATGTTTAGAAGATCAACACAAGAAAATAAATACACAGATGATACGATGCGCCGTGTTGTTCACCTGTCGACCTGCATTGCTCTGTAAGTTACAATAAGCGTGTCTAATTAATTATTGTACACCGTACGATTATCATAGGCATACGTATATTAGCTTTAGGTGGTGCGCACGTATCTGCACGAGTACTCATCGAACTCTGAGCGGATCCAGAGGATCATTGACCACATCGACGACGATCAATTATCGTACATGGCTGCTGCGAGTACAATAATGCTTTAACATCCATACGTGTGTGTGTATCATGTACGTTATACCTACCCGTATAATACGTAGGTATGTATATAGACACGGTGGCGGTTTTTTACGGCGACTTCTTTTACCGGCCGCATTGCTGTCTCCCCGCCAAGAGGTACACACTAACGTTACTCGGAACACGAGAGACGTGCCCCACAGTTGGACGGCCGGCAGTGTATACCGACGACTACCTGACTTCGCTTGCCGCCGGTAAATATCATTGGAATTTTCGAGTACGGCGGTTATCGTAGTGCGACCGATGCCAAAGAAATCGTGTTTAAATACAGTTTTTCTGCTATACAGAGTGCCATCGAACATAATGTTGGGTTTTTGAAAATATTTAATTCCGTGTACATTTTGTAGTTTATTAAATCTATACTCAGAGGTAAACTAAATCACTAGGAAACAGAGTACGAGACCAAAATGTCATAAGCCTCTCTGTACGTAAGTAATACTTATTTTTAACAAAACGTCATTTGTATAGTTTAGTAGTATAGCAAAACCTAGTAGAATTTTAAATTCCTTAGTATGTGTATGATGTTAACTTTTGATGATATTTTTCGTTTTCATTCAAAGATATAATTAAACAAAAGAAAATTGATCAATTTTAAAGGGTTAACTTAAATATTATTTGTGAGATTTTTGTGAAATTATTAAAACTAATTTATGTCGTATAATAGTCTCTGTCGACGGATTTTTTACTCTTATCTTACGTGATATTGATTGCCTATTTGTTTAATAATAGTTTAATTCTTTCAGAATTATTGTTACAACTAATATTGAACTATATGGTAAATCTAACAGAAATAAGTGTACGTATGCAATGTAAAGTTTTATTCAGTACTCAGAATTCTCAACGTACTGAACGAATTATCTTAAAAACTTAACGAATTAATTCGTTCCGTAATTTGTATCTAATCGCATCCGAATCAAATGTTCTGATCGCTTTTAAAATATTTGACTCTGTTATCGTTATTTTTCGATTTTACATACTTTTTAGGAAGGAAAGATATCCCACAAATTTGTTCATGCTAAAAACGTAAAAAAGGCCTTTAACTTGCATGTACATTTGTCTACTGGGACTGAAATTTACAAAATTACTGATTATACTTATTTAATTATCGTTGAAAGAAAAAGGGGTTTTCTAATTCCCTATTCTTTAAAAATATGTCTGGATAATGATGCAAGTATTTGATACAGACACAGACATAGTTTATCGATTTTATTTGGTGTTCCATAGACCCGTCTTATTTTTAAATTTAAATTTATAAAATTGAATCCTAAAATTTGGTTATAAAATTAATAAATGCATCCTCTTAAAATGTCCAACACTATTATTTTAAATTATAAAATTTATGCCTGTTGATAATGTACGAATGAAAGGACATCTTTAAATTATATTAAAAGAAAATCTTTTTTCCTGAAGCACTAATAATGTTCAAGTTACAATGAACAATGTAATTATGGTTTTTTTTCGGCAAACTTCATACAGACGTCCAAAATATTTACTAAATTACACATATCCAAGGTTATAGAATTCTAATTTTGTATAAATAACATGATGTGAATAATCTGCGTGAGAAAAACATAGGGTATTACTTTATGGAGAAAAGGCCAGTGGAATGNTAATCTGCGTGAGAAAAACATAGGGTATTACTCTATGGAGAAAAGGCCAGTGGAATGCGTTTTGTTTGGTTATGCATCCACAGGCACACAGGTAGTCATATTATATGATTCAAGGGCGCGTCTCTACGTTGAAAAGCATCTTCTTGAAATGGAGATGACTACAGTTCAAACTAAATATTTATAAAACTTAATTACTACAAGGCAATAGCATTATGTCGCCATCCTAATTTCAAAAACAAAGTCGGAGGATTGAAAATATTGATTGGAAGGGTTAAAAAAGTAAAACTAGAATTGGTATTTGGTACCGTTAAAAGTTATTTCTATTGTAAGTGGCTGAATATTTCAACAATCTGAAACAAATAAGAACATACGAATTATAAAAATAGTATCTATATTAAGGTTAATCATCGAGATTTCAACGAGAACCACATTAAAATAGGCATTTTGTGAAAATTTGAGATTTTTAAAAAAACGTTTACTAGTCGCTCAACGTGTTTTTAGTATTTTTACCAAAAATACCCCAAAAAACAGTCCCTGTTATTCAATTTTTGGTCAAATCTTATGATTAGTATATCAAAATAGTTTGATTTTTACTGTAGAATACAAATTTTATAGTTATTAAGTCGAACAGTGAAGCGTGAATATCATAATTAGAGTCATTATATGAAATATTTCATGTATATCTTGAGTAAGTTAATTTTTTTTATTTTTATGCAGTTTGGCTGATATTTGTGTACATTAGAAGTAAAAAAAAAAATTATTCACTAATCTTAAAAACTACATTTTTTTAAAAAATAAGCGTAAGTTAAAATATATGATATTCTTGAAAATATTATTAAATAACGATTTATCAACTTTAATACTTTTAAATGGTTTTTTTTAAACAAACAATTCATTTACGTGAATTTAATTTAATTGATTTATATAATTATTTTAGTATTCTCAGTTAAAATTCTTCAAAATTATTATCTTTGATATTTCGGGTCCATCCTTATAAAATGATAGGTATAATGTAATAATATTTCGGTGATAACACTTAGGTTTTAAACCGAATCAAGACAATTCGTTATGAGGTGTGCACAATAGACCAATAGGTCTGAGTGCATGGGCATTATGTCCACTTCACTAATAACTAAAACTAAAAAATTAATTTTTATAACTATATGTAAGCTATTTTCCTTAAATAATATTATAATGACCACGAGAAATAAAATTACGGTAAAAAATTATTTTTAAAAAACTATATAACGTTAAAAATACAATTATAATTAATTAAACCTGTGTCTTCATTAGAGTTTGCTGATTTTTCATAATTTTTAATTAAATTTATACTAATGTATAATTTTATCATAACATAAAAATGTATTCTTATGCTATTTATTATAAATGAATTGTTTGATAAAAAAATAATTGAAAAGTATTTAATGATCAACCGTTATTTAAAAAATGTTAAGCTTATTTGAGATATATTACAAATATACCATATAATGACGCTAATTATGATATCTACTCAATTAATTTTTGACTTGGGGTGTTCAGTAAGTAATGAAACGGGTTTCTATTGTTCTCATTGTTTGTTACAATTAACCTGCTTCCTTACTCACGAATACTCTGTATAATAAAGTTAAAATGGTTCTCATTGAAATTTTGATGATCGACCTTTTTTAATCCACCCGAATAATATATAACATTTTTGATATTGATGAGTAGTATTAATTTATAGATGTTAAGTGATTAAATTTTTTTCTATCGGCCCTCATCCTATATACTCTTTATAGGGGTAAATACTTTTTTTTAATGAAAACATACATATTATACTAGTTTATTTAATAGAAAAGTTATTAACACTTTAATACAAACAGAGTGATTGAACCACTAAAATTCTCATAAAATTACAATAAATTAAATTTTTGTTTTTACCCTTGTAAAGGAAAAATGAGGATAGATCTAAACATATTTAATACTTAACGTGAAATAATTAATCTAAACAAAATCAAACAATACATTCTCAAAATTATTATTTTAGGAAAAATTTAATGAGCAACGACAATTAATCGCTCTGTATACCACCGCATGCTTAGGAAACGAATTTCAATAATAATGGAAAAGGTTAGACTAGATGACAAAATTATTGAGTGATAATGTCATTTGGTGATAACCACGAAATAAGATAAAATGGTCTAGACACAACAAAGTCTGTGGAACGGGAGTTATAAACTATAGGGATGAACATGTTTTCAGAAATTTAAAAAACGGACTGGGAGAATTAGGAAAATACATGTAAAATAGTAGATAATTCAAAATTCCTCCTTTTACGGGTAATTTATAACAAAATTGGATTAGTTATGGACTCGTGACCAGTCCTTTTTATTTTAGTTCGTGGTGATAACGGTTGGGGTGTTAGTATAAGTTTAGCGCTAATAAAGGTAACATTTTTGCCAATGTACGTTAAATAAGTTAAATATTTTTTAATTAAAATGTTTCCTTTTAAATCATTTTAGCCACAAGTGATCAATTCTTATGAGGTTATACGCAATTACGAGTTGCACAAAATTCAACCAAAAACACAATTAACGGTTGCTCATGTGTTCTCACGACCTTCTTAAGTTTAACATTATGTGCGTATATACATATATAATGTGCGTGTATTAATATTTTTTACGCTTTTGGAACACGCATGATCACTTACTAGTTTTGAGAAATATTCTATTGTTATTATTTAATTATAATATAACGTTATTCTATTTACAAAACTACTACTAAATATAATACCTAAATTTTTAACTAATATTAATAACAGTTTGTTAATTAGAAGCATTAACATTTTTTTCATTTCAACTCGAATATTTTTTATTTATTTAAACCAGATAGATAGGCTAAAGTTCTTTCGCACGAAACATTACATTTTTCAATTATTACGAGTGATGTGAAAGTTACATTTTTATTTCGAGTAAGTCATTATAATACTCTAAAAAATAGTAGCTTAGATAACTAAGATTCAAGACTTTGTTCGATCTGCGTTGAATTTTTTAAAAAACGTTGTTGGTTATAGAACACTGGTAATATTCTTAAAACGAATCAAAAATATAAATTTAAGTGTGTCTCAAGTATTTTGAACTAAATATTCTTTCGTTTACTTCAGTCACGATTTCAGTTAGAATAATAACAATTCATATCATACCAAATATCATTCTTCACGTGAAGTACTTAAATGACACGGAAGGAAATATTATGCCCTAAATTCAAAATCACCTACACTGACAGATTATTTGTTCTAATTATCAGCACGTATCATTAAATAATATACTAGTTATTGTTTAATTTGAGTATAATCGGTGCCGTTATAATGACCTCGCATGTCTCTTGTCAAAGAATATCCATTGCATTTTCTGCATACTAATCACATGACTCAAGTATATATAAAATCATTCTTTTATTATGAATCACTCAATTGCACGTAAAATAAAAATAATATTGAGAATATTTATGATGTTATCAGTTACTTATTATTCCACTAGCAAAAAAAAAAAAAAATAGTAAATATATATCATTTGCAGGAATGTAAGGGGTCACTTTTAAGTATTTTGGGGTCGTCGATTTCGAAATGACCTCTGAATTGCCTTATCAGTTTTTTTTTTTTGAGAAAATGTGTGCTTTTCATTTTTGAAAGTGTGCCACTTTTTTTTGAAAGCTTTTAAAACTACCTAATTTCAGTAGGGTAATATTTAACACAAATATCTTGTGTTTCATTAAACATCTTTTAGAAATAATAATCATTAATTATAGTACTGTAATGACTTAAAAATCATATTGAATTT